TGTATTATTGCCTGTATAGTCTGTACAACACGGCACGCCCCACACACCTGTATTATTGCCTGTATAGTCTGTACAACACGACACACCCCACACACCTGTATTATTGCCTGTATAGTCTGTACAACACGACACACCCCACACACCTGTATTATTGCCTGTATAGTCTGGGCAACACGACACACCCCACACACCTGTATTATTGCCTGTAGAGTCTGTACAACACAATACACCCCACACACCTGTATTATTGCTTGTATATTCTGTGCAACACGACACGCTCCACACACCTGTATTATTTCCTGTATAGTCTATACAACACGACACACCCCACACACCTGTATTATTGCCTGTGTAGTCCCATGCGACCTCGTGTTTTACCGCCGCCGAGACGTCCGACGTCTGCACGTCGCGTCGTCGCTCGTCGCTCACCACGGCCCCCACCGCAGCAAAATCCCTGTGACGTGGAATAGAATTCAGGGCTTAAACCTGAGACTCGTATTTTATCTTGAGACTCCTATCGTATCTTGAAACTCGTATCGCATATTGAGAAGTAGAATATATTATGTATAACGGGTCCCTGGGACGTGGTATAGAAGGGCTTGAAACCTGAGACTCGTATCGTACCTTGAGACTGGTATCGTCTCTTGAGACTCGTATCGTATCTTGAGAAGTAGAATATAATGTGTATAACGGATCCCTGTGTCGTAGAATAGAATTCAGGGCTAAAACCTGAGACTCGGATCGTATCTTGAGACTCGTTTCTTATCTTGAGACTCGTATCGTATCTTGAGACTCGTATCGTATCTTGAGAAGCAGAATACCTATAATGTGTATAACGTATCCCTGTGACGTAGAATGAAATTCAGGGCTAAAACCTGAGATTCGTATTGTATCTTGAGACTTGCATCTTATCCTGAGACTCGTATCTTATCTTGAGACTCGTATCGTATCGTGAGAAGCCTAACTGGTGAGCCTTACAATGGCCAAGCTACAACACGCCGAGCGATCAATGGCTGACCTGAGGCTCGCGTGACTGCACCACGAGAATGTCTTGGTCGTAACCTCTGGCGTAACTGCTGCCCAATTATACCCTCTAAGTATCCCCTCTTACCCTCTATAAAACCCTCAAAAATTTCGGCGGCTCAAGTCTGGCCACGCCAAAAGTTGCACGATTTTTAGCATGGCTGAGCGTCAATGGCGCGAAGGCATATGCGTGGCTTAAAGGATAGCCGCTATAACATAAGGGAAATCTTAGTGACAATTTAGTATTGTACGAGTATATAAACCAAATTATTTTTCAGTGTGATGGTGATTCTCATTAACTCACCACTTGATGGTAGACTCACTCCTGAGGTGCCAACTCAACCACATATGTCATCACTGGAAATCAACTCACAATTTACATTCACCCCAGTCCCCAACTCACCCCTTACAGTCCCCCAGTCACCAACTCACGCCTCACAGTCACCCCAGTCCTCAACTCATCCTCACAGTTACCTCAGTCCCCAACTCACCCCTCACAGTCCCCCCAGTCCCCAACTCACCCCTCACATTCCCCCCGTCCTCAACTCACCCCTAAAAGACGCCAACTCACCCTCACAGTCCCCCAGTCCCCAACCTGTCTCTTATACACATCTAGATGTGTATAAGAGACAGACCATAGCTCATTCCACCCGGTAGAGTTTGCAGACAGTAAATATTGGCTCAGTAGACAATTACTTGCTCGTTGGCAGGAAAATTGGCACCAAACTGTTGCAGTTTCTGGAAAGGGACAACACCTGCTGACCATACGAGAAGATCTACTTCCTGTCCCATGGATACATGCAAGANCCCCAACTCACCCCTCACAGTCCCCAACTCACCCCTCACAGTCCCCAACTCACCCCTCACAGTCCCCAACTCACCCCTCACAGTCCCCAACTCACCCCTGCAAGAAGGCTGGGGTGAGGGCTCGCCTGTACACGCCCTGACTGAGCCTGTAGTGCACATCAGGCGTCACGAGCAGCAGCACCAGCATGAGCATCGCAGTGCAGACCATCACAGTCAGCAGGTATAGTGTCTGCAGGAACAAGTGCATGTCTTCTCCTCCTACTCCTACTGCTTCTGATATCAATTGCGTGTAATAATTTCGTCTTAGACTTCAAGTAATTTGCTTATAGCAACTTGTACAAGGCGGCTCCTCTTTCTAATATCACTTGCGTGTAATACTTTCGTCTTGGACTTTAGAAAATTTGCTTATAGCAACTTGTACAAGGCGGTACCTCTTTCTGATATCACTTGCGTGTAATAATTTCGTCTTAGACTTCAAGTAATCTGCTTATAGCAACTTGTACAAGGCGGCTCCTCTTTCTAATATCACTTGCGTGTAATATTTTCGTCTTAGACTTCAGGTAATTTGCTTATAGCAACTTGTGCGGGGCGGGAATTTTGTGTTCAGAAAACTTCGATTTCGATTTGAATGTTTCTATATTCCTCNCTTCTCCTCCTACTCCTACTGCTTCTGATATCAATTGCGTGTAATAATTTCGTCTTAGACTTCAAGTAATTTGCTTATAGCAACTTGTACAAGGCGGCTCCTCTTTTTAATATCACTTGCGTGTAATACTTTCGTCTTAGACTTCAAGTAATTCGCTTATTTTCACTTGTACAAGGCGGGAATTTTGTGTTCAGAAAACTTCGATTTCGATTTGAATGTTTCTATATTCCTCCTCCTACTCCTGCTGCTGATATCACTTGCGTGTAATACTTCCGTCTTAGACTTTATAAAATTTGCTTATTTCAACTTGTACAAGGCAGGAATTTTGTGTCCAGAAAACTCTTTCGATTTAAATGTTTCTATACAATTAGTATGCAGAGTAACTAGTTCTTTTAACCTATACTCGTACGTGTCGGCTTAAACTGTAATTTCTCTCGTGCATTAGTTTCATGTCGAAATTTTATTTGCCTTACTTTTTTGTTTTTGACTTTTGGAAAAATCTCCAAAATAGAAGGCAACACTTCTACTCATCAAATAGAAGGCAATACTTCTACTCATCAAATAGAAGGCACCACTTCTACTCAACTAATAGAAGGCAACACTTCTACTCATCAAATAGAAGGCAACACTTCTACTCATCAAATAGAAGGCCACACTTCTATTCATCAAATAGAAGGCAACACTTCTACTCATCTACTAGAAGGCAACACTTCTACTCATCAAATAGAAGGCAACACTTCTACTCATCTACTAGAAGGCAACACTTCTACTCATCAAATAGAACTTGCACAAGTCTACGGAAACTATACGCCCATAATCCAAATTCGGCTACTGAGACCTGGCCCGGCTACCATGTAGTGATCTGCAGGCTTTCTAATTTCGATTTCTTAAAGAAAAAAATCCCTGCCTGAATAGGAAAATTTTCCCTGCCAGCGACGCAGGACTCAAATATAAAATTCCTATTCAGGAAAGTTCGTAGAAATTGTTTTTAAATTGTGGCAGCTCAGTCGTCACTTGACTTCCGAGGGCAGGCAGGGAAAGAGTTCGCTTGTCGTAGGCTATTTTAATTTTGATACCCTCAAATATCATCCATACAAATCAAAACGTTACGACCAAATTGAAAACATATCAACATAAATTATAGCATGAATAACATTCACTCTCAATGTTAAGAGTGAATTATATTATTCGCACAACCTGAGCAAAATAACATAAGATCTTCGAGCACACGAGCCTGAGGATCGCGGGAACAACACCACACATCCTAACTCGCCGGCGCACTGCGGCACACTGCACCAAAACAATCCAGGTTCCTGGCCGCTGCGATTGACCTCCACTGCTATTCCTGCCTAGCGCGTCACTAACGACTTTTATTCCTGCCAAGCGCGCGTCACTAACGACTTTTATTCTTGCCAAGTATTACTGTATTAGTACGTGTCACTAACAACTTTTATACCTCCCAAGTATTAGTACGCGTCACTAACGACTTCCATTCCTGTCAAGGAACATCCATAACATTCCTATTGTAGATTTACCATTTGATAATTTAAGCATATATTAAGGAATATCTATAACATTCCTAGTAGATTTCCGATTTGATCATTTAAGAATAGATTAAAGAATATGTACACAGCCCCAAAAAAGCTTGTAACAATCCTGCTAAATTTTTACTCGAGATTTCACACATTAGAATGCATGGAGATGCCTTCACATGCAGGTGGTATACAACAAAATGAACTACGCTCTAATTTTCCCTCAAAAATACACCAACGAAGTAACCAAATGATGCTCTTGAGCGCGGTAACGATATTTCGGTCGGCTCATCCTGCGGACAGCGACTTTAAACTTCATCGGTTATTCTAAATTTATTCTAGCATAAGATATTGCTGATAAATAATACTAAGTAGTCTAGGATGATATAATTTACTGATAAAATTCATTCTGCATAAAATATTTTTTTTAGAAATTGGAGCGATCAATGAAGATCACTGGGAACAGTCTCGACTTGAGAATTAAAGTTTGCCTGCATGCTAGACGTGTTGCCTGCATGCTAGACGTGTTGCCTGCATGATAAATGTATTAACTGCATCCTGGAAATGTTGCTGGTATACTAGTTCTGCTAGTATGACGAAGCGTTGTGTTCAGTTATAACTTGTCCAGTTGTCCGCGTTCTCATCATCAAATATTTTAGTGTAAACCCTTTAAGTGATCATAATTTGCTGAATGCGACTTAGAAACTCAAATAAATTGCATTTCATAGCTTAGCACATGGCACTTCAGAAATTTCCGAGATTATTCCGTATTATTTTAAACATATTTCAATTTAATATTTTTCCGTAAAATTGCGAATAATTTCCGACATGGCATGAATTGTTTAAAATCATTTATATATATTTGACAGCAGAGCAGCGTCTGTGCTACATAGCACTTACAGCACAAGAAGAACTAGTTCTTCAGTTTATAAAACGCTCCCTAGTATATCCTTGTTAATAAAACGCTCCCTGGTATATCCTTATTAATAAAACGCTCCCCAGTATAAACGTTCGGGGAAGGTTTGGATCGTTTCTCATGAAATTCTTTTGTAGCTTTATTTGATCATATTGCGGCTCAGTACTATGACTAAGATGTTTAGCTTATCATTTGGAATTTAATGTTTGCAATGTATTTTTTGACATTAAATTGTAATTCTTAGAAAAATGTTTAAATAGATCCAATTCGTTTGTATTATTCATTCAATTAACCTTGTTAAGAATACGCACCTCAGTACTCTTTTTGTTAAGAATACGCTCCTCATTAACGTCTGGGGTGCTTATTCAGTTATTCTTAACAAGATCCAACATTTTTCCACAAAATTGCGAATAATTCCCGACATGACATGAATTGTTTAAAATCATTTATATATATTTGACAGCATAGCAGCTTCTGTATTACATAGCACCTGCATTACATGAATAATTAGTTCTTAAATTAAAGTTTTACTGGGTATTTTTGCTGTTGCTAGAACTGCGTAGCTGCAGCTTACGCATCTCGTGTAGCATTTGTTCATTTGTTTTCAGTATAGCATCGTTTCACGACGTGGAGACGCTGCACATATTTAATGTTTATTGTTAAACGTAAGCTACGTTATCTGCCTTTAACTTGTACTAGGAAATATTACTGTTCATCATTGTGTACCGTCAATTTTTTCGAAGCTACATTCAAATTAATTTCTATATGTGGCCAATAATTGTAGCCTGAGACTGTGGTTGAATATTTACGAACTTAGGTTCTGTTGAATGCAGACAGGAATTAAATTTTTCTGCGTTCCATTTATCAAGTTTCATTGGCCACGCCTTGGTATTAATTACACTTACTTTAGCAAATGTGCTGACCATCGCGAGGATTGTTCAGGGTAAGCTGGGTAACTGATATAAATGGTTACAGCTGCTTTGGAAACAATAGTATCACAGATAAACTGCAAGGAAAATGATACGATATCTTGATTAGCACATAATAATTTTATATGATACAAGGCGTAGCGAGAGGGAGAACATGAGTTGCTTGGCTGCTTGTAAAGCTGTACTTACTGTAACACAAATGTTGTCAGCAACACAAATATTGCAACACACATGTATATTGTCATATTGTATACGAATATTTGGTTACAACTGATATGAGTATTGGCTGCAACTGACACGAGTATTGGCTGCAACTGACACGAGTATTGGCTGCAACTGATACGAGTATTGGCTGCAACTGACAAGAGTATTGGCTGCAACTGACACGAGTATTTGGTTACGACTGACTGCAGTTAGTATTGGCTGCACTTGGATGGAGTATTGGCTACAACTAGTTGCAGTATTGGCTGCAACTGACTGCAGCTAGTATTGGCTGCAACTGGATGGAGTATTGGCTGCAATTGGCTTCAGTATTGGCTGCAGTATTGGCTCAAGGAGAGCTGGTGGTTGGCATGGGAGTGGCGGTGGCCGCGTCAGGCTGGGCCGCTGTTGGGAACAGAAACATTTTCATGTACACGAAAGAAGAGGAAGATTCTTTGTAAGGTGATTATCATGCATTGCATGAAATATAACTGATTGATCGTATCTTCTGGATATTTTTTATACACATTTTTTATCATCATCAACCAACGGATATCATCATCAAATAACGGATATCATCATTAACTAACGGATATCGTCATCAACCAACGGATATCATCATCAAATAACGGATATCAGGCGACCCTGAGGAGGGCGACCCTGAGGAGGGCGACACTGAGGAGGGCGACCCTGAGGAGGACGACCCTGTGGAGGGCGACCCTGAGGAGGGCGACCCTGAGGAGGGCGACCCTGAGGAGGGCGACCCTGAGGAGGGCGACCCTGAGGAGGGCGACCCTGTGGAGGGCAACCCTGAGGGGGGCGACCCTGAAGGGGGCGACCCTGAGTGTGGCAACCCTGTGTAGGGCGACCCTGAGGAGGGCGACCCAGAGGGGGGTGACCCTGAGGAGGGCGACCCTGAGGGTGGCGACCCTGAGGGGGGCGACCCTGAGGGGGGCGACCCTGAGGGGGGCGACCCCGAAAGGCACCCACCAGGGCGGGGCGGCTGAGGGTCGCTGGCGAGGGCGCTGACGTGCCAGCCTCGGCCGCTGACGCCGCCGCCCGTAACGTAGCTCACCACCGCCCTGTTGCTGGGGGAGAGGTGGGTGGCGGGGGTCTCCTGGGGGTGGGGTAATTGTATACATCGTGAGTTATGAGTTATATATTGCCTGGTATAATTCCACTTAAGTTATGAGTCATATATTGCCTGGTATAATTCCATTTAAGTTATGAGTCATATATNTTACTCACGCCCCTCACTATCAACGGACAGTTACTCACGCCCCTCACTATCAACGGACAGTTACTCACGCCCCTCACTATCAACGGGCAGTTACTCACGCCCCTCACTATCAACGGACAGTTACTCACGCCCCTCACTATCAACGGACAGTTACTCACGCCCCTCACTATCAACGGACAGTTACTCACGCCCCTCACTATCAACGGACAGTTACTCACGCCCCTCACTATCAACGGACAGTTACTCACGTCCCTCACTATCAACGGACAGTTACTCACGCCCCTCACTATCAACGGACAGTTACTCGCGCCCCTCACTATCACCGGACAGTTACTCACGCCCCTCACTATCACCGGACAGTTACTCACGCCCCTCACTATCAACGGGCAGTTACTCACGCCCCTCACTATCAACGGGCAGTTACTCACGCCCCTCACTATCAAGCAACAGTTACACATGCCACTCACTATCAAGCAGCAGTTAAATATGCCACTCTCTATCAACGGACAGTTACTCACGCCCCTCACTATCACCGGACAGTTACTCACGCCCCTCACTATCAACGGACAGTTACTCACGCCCCTCACTATCAACGGGCAGTTACTCACGCCCCTCACTATCAACGAACAGTTACTCACGCCCCTCACTATCAANGGATGTGAACATTAGGAACTATTCCGGTAGACCCATGGATGTGAACATTAGGAAGTATTGCAATAGATATATGGATGTGAACATTAGGAAGTCTGGCAATAGATCCATGGATGTGAACATTAGGAAGTCTGGCAATAGATATATGGATGTGAACATTAGGAAGTCTGGCAATAGATCCATGGATGTGAACATATTAGGAAGTCTTGCAATAGATCCATGGATGTGAACATTAGGAAGTATTCCAATAGATCCATGGATGTGAACATATTAGGAAGTATTCCAATAGATCCATGGATGTGAACATATTAGGAACTATTCCAATAGATCCATGGATGTGAACATATTAGGAACTATTCCAATAGATCCATGGATGTGAACATATTAGAAAGTCTTCCAATAGATCCATGGATGTGAAATATTAGGAACTATTCCAATAGATCCATGGATGTGAACATTAGGAAGTATTCCAATAGATCCATGGATGTGAACATATTAGGAAGTCTTGCAACAGATCCATGGATGTGAACATATTAGGAAGTATTCCAATAGATCCACGGATGTGAACATATTAGGAAGTCTTGAAATAGATCGGTGGATGTGAACATATTAAGAACTCTTCCGATGGATCCATGGATGTGAACATTAGGAACTATACCAATAGATTCTTCGATGCAAATTTGAATGAAATAAGAAAGTATAAATCTTTGGAAAATTAAATAATGAAACACATTGATGATATGCAAAAACATAGTGAAAAAATTAGCTGCTGCAAAGATACGTGACATAATTTTTTTGATTGCGAATAATGGTTTATAGCATCAAATGATAATAACTCAACATATCAATTAACTCTCAATCGGATTCATACTCTATCATAGACTCCAGGGCCATACTTTCAAAACTCACCAAGTGATCGTAAGTACTTACACTCTATTTTCTTGTCTATGATTGGTGGATTTGGCTTGAAAGGCCGTCAATGATTGGCTAATGAACTTACGATCTATTACTTTTTTTGAAAGTGTAGACGAAGGTATTCATAGCATTGATATTATAAAAGAGGTCATTAATGTACGTATCCGAAAACCTAACATAGCGCCACAAATAACCTTCTCCTATGTTAAGTCACATAGATAGCATCCTGATAACTTAACATTAGCACCCTAAATAACCTTCTCCTATGTTAAGTCACATAGATAGCATCCTGATAACTTAACATTAGCACCCTAAATAACCTTCTCCTATGTTAGGTCACATAGATAGCATCCTGATAACTTAACATTAGCACCCTAAATAACCTTCTCCTTTATTAGGTCATTTAGTTAATACCCAAAAAATCTCACCGTTTTGTGGACGAATATAGCATCACCCAGCTAAGTATAGCAGCAGCTTGCACGTATCATAACGCACATGCATTGCAATACAATAAAGGTTTAGCGATAGGACTCTTGAGCCGTACGATGAAAACTTGCTAATGCACACCTAGCGGCCTGTTTCACGTCTGTGATTGGTGGGTTTGGATTGAAAAGCCGTCAGTGATTGGATGATCAAGTTACGAACTCGTATTTTTAGCGCATTTCCTCATATATAGAAAAAATGCCCTATTGTGCTCGTCATGTCCGTGTGTCAGTCCGTGACTTTACGTTTTCGTCGACGAGAAAATGCGCTCTGTCACTCACTGCAGTGAGTACTGAGTTATATTTTTTTAGCGCATTTTCTAATTTATGGAAAAAATGCCCTATTTTGCTCGTCATGTCTGTCTGTCTGTCCGTCCGTGACTTCACGTTTTCGTCGACGAGGAAATGCGCTCTCTGTCACTCACTACAGTGAGTCCCGAGTTATATTTTTTCTTGTTAGTACGGCCCTGGGGCCATACTTTCAAAACTCGCTAAGTGAACGTAAGTATTTACGCTCTATTTTCTTGTCTATGATTGGTGGATTTTGCTTGAATGGCCGTCACGTTTTCGTCTATCCATGGATGTGAACATATTAGGAAGTCTTGCAATAGATCCATGGATGTGAACATAGTAGGAAGTCTTGCAATAGATCCATGGATGTGAACATAGTAGGAAGTCTTGCAATAGATCCATCGATGTGAACATATTAGGAAGTCTTGCAATAGATCCACGGATGTGAACATATTAAGAAGTCTTCCAATAGATCCATGGATGTGAACATTTTAGGAACTATTCCAAATTTCCAATATAGATCCACGGATGCAAATTTGAATGTAATAAGAAAGTATATAACGCATTGGAAAATTAAATAATGAAACACATTGATGATATGCAAAAACACAGCGAAAAAATTTCCGTCATTTCCGTCTGTCTGTTCGTGACTTCACGTTTTCGTCGACGAGAAAATGCGCTCTCTGTCACTCACTGCAGTGAGTACTTAGTTATGTATATTTTTTCTTGTTAGTGCGGCCCTGTTAAGCGTGGGCACCTGAGAAGTGCAGGACTACGTGGTAAGGAAGAGGCACTGAGAAGGAGTAGGTATATTTTTTCTTGTTAGTGCGGCCCTGTTAATTGTGCGTACCTGAGAAGTGCAGGACTACGTGGTAAGGAAGGGGCACGGAGAAGGAGTAGGTGCAGGTGAGCTGTGCTGCTGCAGGTGCAGGATAGTGAGGGCTGAAGAGATGGACGCTCATGCCGCTCAGGACGCCCCCACAGCCATACCCTGGCAGGAGGAGGCGTGTATAACAAGCAAGTTAACCCGAACAAAATTTAGAGTCGCCCCAGCTTCTGGTAATCCAAATCAGAACCTGCTGCGTCGGTAAATTTTCACTGGGGATTGCACATGGACTCTATAAATAAAATTTATGCAATTTAGTGAATTAGAATTGCTTTTAAGGAGAATAAAAATTGTTTTCTAGGCAGATAAAATAAGATTATGAGTTAGCAGAAAAATATAGATTTTAGCAATTTAAAGATGTGTATAAGAGACAGCCTGAGGAGGTGCTGGCTTCCCCCAAGAAGGGGGAGACGGCTGAGGAAAATTGAGAAGTTTTTCTGCAGGGGGAAGAGAAGGTGTCTTTGTTGGGGGATGTGTTGCTCCTGTTGGGGAAGGATAAACCCGACGAAGGGTACCTGAAGACCCCATGACTCGATCGTATCCTCACTGAGGACTGGGGACTTGAATTGACGCTCGAGTCACCGCACGCGCCAGAGTTGGACGGGTTCATGATGTCGTCGCCCGCGTCACTTTCGCACCCGCTGTCCATACTCGTCTGAGGCTTGGGGCTCTTGCCCCCCGGCACCTGCAGGCTGCTTGCTTTAGGGATCTGGGCTGGGGATGATGGAGGGNCCTCTAAGTCTGTCTCTTATACACATCTCGCTGCCACCCATGACTCACGCTGCCACTCATGTCTCACGCTGCCACCCATGACTCACGCTGCCACTCATGACTCACGCTGGTTCGAGACGACGTAGTAAGCATCGTAGTATGAGGTGTTGGTGGCAGCTGAGAGACGCAGCGTGAGCTCGTTGCCAGAAGAATACACGGGCGTCGGCACCAGGTAATTACAGTACGTGTCCATGGGGCTGCCTGTCACGCTACCTCCGTCATAAACCTGTCCAAGTATGCAAATCAATTGCAAAAATTACGTACAGGAAATTTTTGTAACAAAGCATTCCTATAAGGAATGCTATTGTAACAATTCCTATGTAACATTCCTATAATAGCATCTATAACAATAGCATTCCTGTAACAATAGATGAGCCATGCTAAGTGAACGTAAGTACTTACGCTCTATTTTCTTGTCCATGATTGGTGGATTTCGCTTGAAAGGCCGTCAATGTTTGGCTGATGAACTTACTATCTTTTAACTTTTTGTGAGAGTATAGGTCCAAGTATGCAAATCAATTGCAAAAATTACGTACAAGAAACTAGTAAATTTTTGATAACAATAGCATTCCAGAATATTTAAAACTTCGTACGACCTTTCCATCACACCATATAACACTATTTATTGTTAATTAGTTGAGTGACTAATGCAGCAGCATGATAGAAAACAGAAGCTTCGTGTGCGCGTGCTTATAAATGAAACCCATTTTATGGCGGGATATTCACTCTGAACCTGTACATCATAGAGTTAAAAGTAAAAGTTGCAGAAATGATAGCATAATGAATTTGATGGACTATGGCCTTCTAGGAGATTAAGAGTAAAAGCATTGTTAATATCATCGTGTTAATATTAATAACTGTGTTGTAATTAGTAGGTAAAGGGGATTTGCTGTAGCAGCTGGCAGCAGCTTATCACAATATTGAACGGATTTGTTGTACCAGCTGGCAGCAGCCTATGAGTACGCACACAGTGAAAGCAGGTTGCCAGCGTGCTGGTTACCTGCTCAGGCTGGCGCCTGAAACCATAGAATACAGAAGCCTATTCGTACAGGTTTTCACTGTGAACACTTCCATTATTATCCTATGTTCATTCTTGTGGCAGGTTGGAGCAGGTTGCCCGCGCGGGCAAACCTACTTTCACTGTGTACGTAACCTAACACAATATAAGTCACCTGTAGGTGATCTCCGGTGGTGCAGTCGTCGCGGGCGGCGCCCCCTCCAGGCACCGCAAAGTCCGAGAAATACAAGGAAACGAAGGAGCCTTCAGGCGCCCTGATCGTGACGGTACACGGAGACCCGTTGCTTTGCCCGCGTCCCATGACACGTCCCGACTGCCGCGTGTAGGTCCTGTTGCAACCTGGGGTGTGGTGCATTAATTATGATATTAATACGTCCTTGTTTTATTGCAGTAACTGATAAGTAATAATATTAATACGTCATTGTATTATTGCAGTAACTGTTGCAACCTGGGGTGTGGTGCATTACTTATGATATTAATACGTCCTTGTATTATTGCAGGAACTGTTGTAGCATGACACTAGGACTGGCAACTATAGGATACAGAACATGTGACGACAGCAAAACGCGACCATTATAATAAGATTCCTCAACTTAATGACTCGAAGTACAAGCGAAAAAGACACACGATTACGATGGATGACGCCAATTAAAGCTAGTAATACTTGCATGACGGTAGTAAATGATACCCATGAGTGATGAGGCATGCTGACTGTCACATAAAGTTAGCAGAACATGACGGCAGTAAATGATACCCATGAGTGATGAATCATAATGACCTTCACTTATTGCTAGCAGAACATGACGGTACTAAATGATACCTATGAGTGATGAGTCACGCAGATCGTCACATAAAGTTAGCAGAACATGACGGCAGTAAACGATACCCATGAGTGATGAATCATAATGACCTTCACTTATTACTAGCAGGACATGACGGCAGTAAATGATACCCATGAATGATGAATCATAATGACCTTCACTTATTGCTAGCAGAACATGACGGCAGTAAATGATACCCATGAGTGATGAGCCATGCTGATCTTTACTTAAAGTTAGCAGAATATGACGGTACTAAATGATACCCATGAATGACGAGTGGCAGTCACCTAGCAGCGAGTAGTGGAGGCGGAAGCCGTGGTCTGCGGTGTCGGCGTCACTGACGAAGGAAAGCTCCACGGGGGCGGCGCTGAAGCGCAGGTCGAAGGGAGCAGACGTGCCGCAGTATGGAGACCCACGATCCTCGTCCTGAACAGCGGCACGAATTGTGGCACGAATAGTGGAACGAATAGTGGCACGAATAGTGGAACGAATAGAGGCACGAACAACGGCACGAATAGTGGCACGAATAGTGGCACGAATAGTGGAACGAATAGAGGCACGAACAACGGCACGAATAGTGGCACGAACAGTGGTACGAATAGTGGCACGAATAGTGGCACGAATAGTGGCACGAACAGTGGCACGAATAACGGTACGAATAACGATACAAAGAGATGAGTAATAAGAGGCACAAACAGAAAGAATAATCGATGCGACAACACAGCACAAATTTGTTACGCATGTAGTAATTATTTATTGTCGCTTACAATGTAAGTGTAGATGAGGCCGTTGATTTGCACGTAGGAGATATAGGAGAGCCTGGCAGGCTGCGACCCCGTGAAGGTGTTCGCTGCGTAGTCCTGCTCCAGCGAGAATAAATTAGAAATTACACACAGCAGCACTATACACATGCATCACTATACACAGCAGCACTGTACACAGCAGCACTATACACTGCTGCACCTTATGATCTTATGACAAGTTTAAGACGTCATCGCCCACGGTCACGCTGAATCTCCGCCTTCGTCGCCTGCCGTCTTCAAGTCATCGATAGGCAGGTTGCCCGGCCATCGTATTTCGGAGTTAAAATTTAACTTTTTTTTCGGAGTTAAACTATAACTTTTAACTTTAAACGTATTCCATTCACCTCCCCTCCTTTGAGCCAGCTGATACAATATGCTGTTGCATGTTACTTGCCGATGGTAGCGGTTCGTGTCGTGACTGGTGAACCCGTGATCTTGCTCAAAAACTCATGCAGCCTTCTTTTGAATGTCACAAGGGCGAACTCCCCTCCTCTCATCTCCTGCGGCAAGACATTGAATAGCCTCGGTTCTGCCACTGAAAGAGGTCCCTTTCGGAGAGTCTGTACTCTGGCTGCAGACCGGTTATTGAATGGGGGAATCCTGTACAGTCTCCTCCTCCTTTTTTGTGATATGTTGCTTTAATAAATGTCCAACTTTCTAAGTTGTGAGCCAGCCCTTTTATCATCTTCCAAGTGCATAGTATGATATGCCTCTCTTTTCTCCTCTCCAGTGAGTATACAGTCCCAGGCGTTTCAACCTGCCCCAGCATTTCAGCTCCAGATCCTCCATACCACTGATCCTGGACGTGAAGGTCCTAGGACTTGTAAGCGACTGAAAATCGTTCGCGATTTTTTCATACGTTTTTTATTATTGGTTATTTCATTTTCTTTATCGGGGTGAAAAACTGTACATATTGCTGTTGATGAAAGTACTTATATTATCAGTCTGCTTATATCGCAAGTTCACAAGGAATTTAAAAGCAACGAAAACGACCAGGTTTGATCGCATCCGAGCAGGAATAACGTCCTTATTCTTCAGGTATAAAGACGTTATTCCTGCTGGAATAAACCTGGTCTATGAGTTCAGTTGTGCACGCTGTGCATCTGCGCTCTTTGTTGTGGTCATCTTTGACGTTGAAAGCGCCCGGTCACAGACTGACTCCAGTTTCCGCATGCCATCCGCCTTGAGCGGCGCCTAAAGCAGGCAGCAGTACTCCAGAATGGGGAGCACGAGGGCTATTCAGTTATTCATTTTTGCCAAGAATTTAAAAGCAAAAAAAAAAAAACGGCAAGTAAATTCATTATAACTTAATTGAAAACGTTACTGAGACCACCTCCACCATCAGTTCATATTTTTTAAGGATACACGTACAATGAGCAGTGAAATTTTAAATGCACAAGAAAGAGATGAAAACTAATAAAAAAACAAGAGAATTAGAACTGGAATCGTTATTAAGACAAAGTTTCTACTTAAAAAATGGGCAGCGATTCAAAAATCCCAATTTCTGAACCACCAGAGGTGGCACCGAATATCTTGACATCGCCGGCAGACACATGCAGTCACGCTGCACTGTTCAGCGTGGAGGATACTCGCTTCTACACCTCTTGGTTCACATTGAAGCATTTTGGAAAAGCTAAATAATTTTAAACCGCACAGTTATCAGAGTGCATTCTCTTGAAATTGTACATCGAACAGTTTTCTTCGTTGTTTTCTCGTTAAATACCATTATGTCTATTTTGTGTACATTCATGTATTCACAGCTAATTGTGGGTGTATTCGAACAAAAAATTTGTTTAACTTATGATGAAACCGGTCTCCAAGACGTTTTCAATGAAGATATGGTGAATTTACAATGCGTTTTCTTCGATCACATTTAAATTCTTTGTTCATGATAAACGTACTAAGGTACAATAAGAAAATAAATGATAACCAACTTGACAAAAGCTAAATGATCACTTACCCAATCCATTGAAGGCGAATAACTGCTCGTATCCAAGGACCAGAAGCCTGTATTTGGTCCCCCACTTGCTCGCATCACCAGACCAGAAGCCTGTATTTGGTCCCCCACCTGCTCTCATCCCCGGACCAGAAGCCTGTCTTTGGTCCCCCACTTGCTCGTATCCCCGAACCAGATTTGGTCCTCCACCTGCTCTCATCCCCGGACCAGATTTGGTCCCCCACTTGCTCGTATCCCCGAACCAGAAGCCTGTATTTGGTCCCCTATACCTGCTAGTTTCCCCGGACCAGAAGCCTGTCTTTGTTCCCTTAACTCCCCGGTCCCCCTGGGGACCGGGGAGTTAAGGGTCCTCCCTGTTCCTCCCCTCCCTCCCTGTTCCTCCCTGATACTTGGTCCTCCCTGTTCGTATTCCCGGACCAGAAGCCTGTATTTGGTCCCAAACTTGTTCGTATCCCGGAACCAGTAGCCTGTATTTGGTCCCCAACTTGTTCGTATCCCCGGACCAGACGCCTGTCTTTAGTCCCTTAACTGCTCGTATCCCCGGACTAGAAGCCTGTCTTTAGCCCCTCACCTGCTGGTATCCCCGGACCAGGAGCCTGTCTTTGGTGCAGCCCTCGCTATGTTCGAGGCGGAGGTCTTCGAAATGGAAGAAGAAGAAAGAGTCGCTGGGGGCGTTGATGATCCACCGGCACCGCAGGGAGAGAGGGTAGTTCTGAGGGTAGTTGGGCGACTGCAGCAATTGCGGCTCCGTCGTCGCCTCCAGAGTCGACACGCCGCACGGATCTGCAAGTCGGAATTTACTTGCTAAAAAATTTGTCGCGGGGACGTGTAGCTGAAAATAAATGTAGCTTGTTGCTCTTCGCACTCTGCCGAGATTCATACAACAGCCTGCAGGAGGCGTGACCGCAGCCGGCAATAGGCGCAATCACAACCTGCATTAGGCACTCACGGGGCAGTGCGGAGGCAGTAGCGGTAAAGCCCGTAGTTTGGTTGGCGCTGTCACTATGCATGATGACGAGCAGTTCGTTGCTGGAGCTGGTGACCGCACGCGGCAGCTGCGACCCGCACAACCGGAACAGCAGCTCGCTTTTGTAGCTCCCGCCGTCTCGGATCTGAGGTCAACGTGCAAAATAAGTGAAGAAAAATTCTTAGGTTAAACGTATCCGATATTCATCGGATGCGAAATTGTGTATGAAGTGGCATAAAAAAATTTAAATCAGAGAAGCAAATGGCATGTTTCTGCAACACTTAATTAATCCCTGGACGGATCTTCGTCCAGAAAAATAAGAACTGAGACGAGTTAAGACACCTTATATCGCCAGTTTTTTGTCGAGTTGTTGGATAAAGCTCAAATTGTTAACTTCGGTATTTCTAGTAAAACATTTACTATCATCAAAAAGTGAAGTAAATTATTCATCAAATTGGCTCATTAGAAAATTTTTTAACCTCGAGGTAGTCATAGGGGCACGTCCTAGTGTCGTTGAGGGGCTGGGGCTCAAGGTCGAAGCGTGAGAACTGGAGGCGGACGACGTGGTCGGTGGGCGCGATGAGCAGCCAAGGACAGTGCAGCATCGGCTCATATGTGCCTGCACGAACAGCCATCGGGGCATTGTTGGTATCTTTGGGGCCTTTTTGAGGCTATAGGGTCATTGTTGGTATCTTGGAGGCCTTTTTGAGGCTATAGGGTCATTGTTGGTATCTTTGGGGCCTTTTTGAGACTATAGGGTCATTGTTGGTATCTTTGTGGCGCTGTTGAAGCCATGAGGGCATTTTTGATATTTTTGGAGGCATTGTTGAGGCTATAAGGTCATTGTTAACATAACATAACATAACATAGTGATCTCGTCATCTCGGCGCTGCAGTGTAGGCCTGATGTGATGTGATGTTGGTATCTTTGCGGCATTGTTGAGGTCATAGGAGCATCGTTGCGATCTTTTGGGCATTGTTGAGACCATAGGGGCATTTTGTTGTGATCTTTGGAGCATTGTTGAGGCCAAAGGGGCATTGTTGTGATCTTTGGAGCATTGTTGAGGCCAAAGGGGCATTGTTGTGATCTTTGGGAAATTGTGGAGGCCATAAGAGCATTTCGTTGCGATCTTTGTGGCATTGTTGAGGCCCTAGGGCATGTGTTGAGATCTTTGAGGTCTTTGTTGAGGCCATAGAGCATTGTTGGTATCTCTGATGTATTTTTGAGGCCATGGAGGGATCGGTTAGGCCATGGGGGGATTATTGAGGCAATAAGGACATTGTTAAGATTTTTGGGGCATTGTTGAAGCCATGGGGGGACTGTTGAGGCAATTGTGACATTGTTATATGGGCATTGTAGGATTATGTTTGATGGTGTACATACAACTTTAGTCAAATGATGGCTGATGGTAAACAAACCATCGTTGTCAGATGATGGTTCTTGGTAAACTAACCATCGTTATTGGCGTCGAGGGAGCGGATGATCTGGGAGTCCTGGGTGCTGGCGATGTTCACGGTCCCGCCGCAAACTGCCCAAACCACGCGAGTTATTGCCGCGTTATCGGGACTCAGATTAACTTAAATGTTCATTGATGCAGTAATGTATTATCTTCCTTGAATCGTTTATAGTCTTAGGAAGCTGCGCTAGCCAAAGATCGTCAATTAGTATCAAGAGAAACGACGTATAGCTTTACGGTGCTACTATTGGACGTTTTTCTTCATCGCATAGTAACATCGTGGAAATAGGCCGGGCACGAACGAGGAATGATTCATTTAGGGCCTTAGTCAGTCAAGTTTTCCCGAAATTTTTCACATTCGCCGGACTCAACAGAGTAATTTTTCTTGGTTTACTGCCTTATCGAAAAAAAATTTAAATCGGGAAGCACCTACAATCTGATCTCTTACAGGAGAATTCAGGATTGGCTAAAGCCTAATCGGAAGCGGTCCCAGTAGGCTGAATCTTAATTGCTTAAAACAATACCGTTCACGGCAACTAAAGTAAAAACAATACTTAAATACACGGCAACTAAAGTTCCTTCAATTAATGCTTCGGCAGAAAAACAAATTTTGCTTCATAATTGTTAAAATGAACTAATCATAATTTGTACCATGGGTAAAGGAGACGTCAAGTGTGAAGCCCTCCCTGGCGACGGAGCTGTCGCTCTCGAAGGTTACGGTCGCGGTGTTGGCGGTCGAGGAGCGGATGGGGAGGTCCCAGTTGAGGTCGCCACAGAAAGTTCCTATCAAGCGTTCCTGAGTGACCTCACTGCCATCGTAGATGTTAACTTTATCATAGAGACAACCGGCGCTCTCCAGGTGCAGTGATGTGAATCTGAGAATGAAAATCAGAACCCTTGAATAAATTGTTAGCGCATTTTCTCATTTATGAAAAAAATGCACTATTGTGCTCGCCATGTCTGTCTGTCCGTCCGTGACTTCATGTTTTCGTCGACGAGAAAATGCGCTCTCTGTCACTCACTGCAGTGAGTACTGAGTTATATTGTTTTTTATTTACAAACATTCAAAAAATTATTTAAACTCAAAGTATTAAATTTTAATATATAATTATAAATTGGCCCGGGACAAAATTGAGCACTAAATTGAGCCTACGTAACACACTCAATATGAATTTCAACCTTCTCTCTCATATCTGAATTTTGTCTTATTCTAGGGTAACGTTTCAGTCTACCAGCAATACCATCATAAGTTATTGCTTCTGACGCTCTGATTATTTATTATAATACCGGATTGCGAAAAAGTTCTTCCAGCCCTTATTTAATTGGCTGTGTTTCCAAGTCACAAGGTCATTCATACGAACGTCTTCGCTAATTCTTCGTCGGAAAAAAAATAAACACAGCAACGATTATATAAGAATGCTTTTAGTTGACATGAGCTTCCTATTAAACCCTGCTGCCTCGTCCTCATTTGCAAAGCCATCCTCTAAGTCATCTTCTAATTCACGCCCCAAGTCATCCTCTAAGTCATCCTCTTAGTCACCCTCCAAGTTATCTTCTTAGTCACTCTCTAAGTCATTCTCTTAGTCACCTCTAAGTCACTCCCTAAGTCACCAAGTCATCTTCTAAGTCATCTTCTAATTCACCTCCTTAGCCACCCCCTAATTCACCCCCTAAGTCATCTTCTAATTTACCCCCTAAGTCATCTTCTAATTCACCCCCTAAGTCACCTCCTAAGTCATCTTCTAAGCCATCTTCTAAATCTTGACGCCTATCTAATAAGCTACAAGCAATGGAAGTGTTAACGATCAAAGCACGTGAGTTTTAACATCGCTTGCAATTCTATTCTGCCTCTAAGAAGTTCAGGTACGGGTTTGTCCCTGGCATGCTCCAACTGCTTTTAGGGCAGACTGACTCAATCTTTCAGGATTGGGGAAAACGACAATTGCAGAAATTTCTCAATAGAAATTCTAATAAAGTTTTTGTTTTTATATATTCACAGCTATCTAAGATGAGCTGTTACAAGACCGTTAAAAAGGCTGTTGCAGGACCGTTAAAGAGCTGTTGCAGGACCGTTAAAGAGCTGTTGCAGGACCGTTAAGGAACTGTTGCAGGACCGTTAAGGAACTGTTGCAGGACCGTTAAAGAGCTGTTGCAGGACCGTTAAGGAACTGTTGCAGGACCGTTAAGGAACTGTTGCAGGACCGTTAAGGAACTGTTGCAGGACCGTTAAGGAACTGTTGCATGACCAATGAAGTGATACGACAATGGCTTGTGTGATATGACAATGGCATGTGTGATATGAAAATGGCATGTATGATATGACAATGGCATGTGTGATGACAATAGCATGTGTGATATGACAGTGGCATTTATGATATGATAATGACATGTATGATATGGCAATGGCTTGTATGATTTGACAATTACGCATTAAGGCATTATGACAGCGATGCGCGTGACACAACAATTTACAGCATATCGACGCAATGACACTTCACGCTAAATGTGTTCCTCTCACTTGAACCGAATCTTCCTGTCCGCGGGCGCCGTGATGTTCCATCGGCAGTTCATGTCGTGGAAGTAGCCTGATGTCGAGGGCAAGGTGATGACGGACGGCGCTGTGATCTCTCCGCCACACTCTGGACACCGTCGAAATCAAATAAATGTTGGAAACAAATATTCATTCATGGAAATAAATATTCAGAATGAAAAGTATTCATTCGTCTAGAAAAACTATGTAAAACGTACTGGATTAACTTCGCATGCTCTTCGATTTTCCAATTCAATTTCCCGTTTGTTCACTCTGTGGTTGGAAATGTGATTCTGCAACATGATTTTCATTCAGTATATCGATAGCCTTTATCTCAGTGTAACGATGGAAAAAATATTTGTTGGAGAAACCAAACTGTAATAAATTCTAATCGTACTTACGGAAATAAGATTCACTAATTTTTTCAGACGACAAAACTTAAGGAAGCCCTCCATTCAACGATCGTTCTACGAAGAAATCAACACTTAACTTCACACTCCATGATCGTGCTACGAAGAAATCAACACTCAGCGATCGTGCTCCGAAGAAATCAAGACTAAACTTCACACTCAACGATCGAGGTACAAATAAATCAACACTCAACGATCGTGATACGAAGAAATCAACACACAACTTCATACTCAACGCTTAACTGAATTTCAACCATCGCCAGATTCTAATGGCGATGTACGATGCACCACACGAATGATGTGTCCATCTGGACTGCGTCGTAAACAATTTGGGAGGCACAAAAACGAAAATTCTTATACACTTGGTCGTCAAATTTATAAAATTTGTTGAAAAAATCCAAGAACGTGCAAAAAAAGGAAAAACTCTCTCCTGGCAAAAAGTAACGGAAAAAATTCAAAATTAGGCCAATGCAGAGTAGAATTGCACTTCAATTGCAACAGAGCATTTTTACTTGGGAAAAATTACCTCAATTCAGCCTAGATTCGGATGTATATTTTATAACACTGCGTATGGTCGAATATTATCAGTGCAAAACATTTGAAAAAGAAAATTTGTGGAGGCATAGTATACCTTGAGTTGAAAAATGAGAACTCGAATCCACAATACTTTTCGCGACGGGATTTTTTCTCTGAATCTAAAATAGTAAACCTAATGGCGAAATCATGCAGCGTCGGAAAGCGAAGAGTGGGAGAGTAAATGAAAAAAAACGGAAATGTTTTTTTCTTCAACCCTGTAGATGAAAATTTTATTTGTAAAAAAAATATTAATCGTCATGGCATTTCAAACTGAGAATTAAATTTCTCGCTGAAATTGATTTGGAGCGAATATTTCATAGTGGATGAGTTTACTCACCGCGTACAGTGAAGTTAGCGAGGAAGCCCCGCCGTACAATGGAAGTGTCGGTGACGAAGCGCAGGACTGCGGGGCCCTGGGCCTCAAGGCTGGAGGGCGCCTGATTGCCGCAGTGTTTGTCAGACGCGGCGCCCCCCGAGGAGGTGAGCTGCACCCAGTCGTATGGGCAGCGGTTATACTCGCGCGGACCATAACCTGATCAGCGGTGGTGGCGGAGATCATATACGACAGCCATGGAAGATATTAACTCATACGATTTCGTGACTACGTTCTTGTTGTGTCTTATTAATATCTTTCAGTTCTTTATGCAAAGCGAGATTGACTTCATTGACAATGATATACTGGAATATTTCAAAGCTGGATAAAGATTTCTGCAAAATGGGTTTACGTACTTCCTTCCAATTCGAAGAACTCGAACTGGATGCTGACGTAAGCATTGGGGTGCGCGTTGATGACGTAGGAACAATTGGCTCTAGCAGGGTACATGCCCGGGTGGTTGGGCGATCTGATTATCCCGGACGAGGAATTGAATACTCCTCCACACTCTGCCTTCCACATGGCCTGCAAGCATCAGCAAATAATTTCTAAGAAACTGTTAGATGTAGCCAGCAAAATGCACCATATGAGGCGCTATGCATGTGTTTATTAACACGCAATTAATACTTATCATACCTATACTTCTCTTCTACTTTTTCTAGCTTAAAACATACCTGGAAAATTTATGACTAAGCCTTTGAATCCTTTTAGAGCTCCCAGTGTCGAAATGAGGAAGCAATTTATATTTAAACTGAATTAACGGAGCAAAATGAGATAAATCAACGCACCTTGCTTTATTTAATCTAAAGAATATTATTAAATTGACACAACGAACGTGCGGTAACGTTTTGGGCACAGAATAGTGCACAGATGTCTTCATATGATGAAGTTAAGATTTGAGAAAAAAATGATTAATAAATAGACATGATAGTTTAAAAAGGTGTGCAACAGCGCATTCAATGAGTTAGTAGCGGGGCCTTCAAGCTCAGGGAGACACAAGTATAAATAAACTGGCATGTAGCATTAATGGACCCTGCACCTTGATTACTCACCTTGAAGCCCTTGCCCTGCACGGCTTGGTTACTCGAGAAGGTGAGTCTGAGTTTTTCGCTGAGTGAAGCAACTGGTGAAGGAATCTGCTTGCCACAGAGACGAGGCTGTGGCAGCCACTGCAGATCATCTGATCCTGTGCCACCGTCTGACGTAACCAACTGTCCATGCACAACCTATAACAATCATTAGTAATATTATAGAAACTCAAGGAGTTGTTGATCATTTGCTTCTCGTCAGTATGTTCACCGCAGTCATTTGACAAAAGAAGTCAAAAATATTATACTCAAAATGCAGAGAATCAGTCTTAAAATGCCTAGCAAATTACGGGCCAGGCAATAAGTCCAGCAGCTATCTCAATCAATCGTCAGTTATGGAAAGATCGGGTTCCAAAGGCCGGATCTCTTGTGAATCAAGTCACGAAAAATTCAAGAATCGGCAACAGGCCATGGGCCTATTTCTTCAGTGCCGACATTTCTATTCTATTCTACTGTATACTAATGGCAATCGATGAGATGTAAGAGATACGAACTGACAGGTTCAGTCTCTAGGAAATGAGCTTAGTCTTCGAGAGAATTAACTTGTATAATTTCAGACATTCATCGAATGGAACACATATTAACCTGTATTGGACCGTTAGCATGACATATTTAACAAAGAACTATTGCTGATGACGGCTTTGATGATGTTTCTTGCGTTTAATTGCTCAATATTCTTCTGTTAGATGCGATGGGCTGTCAACAGCACCAATTGCTTACGAGCTTATAACCGTTTCATGCCTCATATACACAGAAGATTTGATCATCTATGGTATTCGAAACACTCGAGCTATTACTATGATTTGGTATACGTAGCGCAGGACCCACTATGGTCTTATTAGATTTACTTTCAATCGTATAAGTTCGTGTGGTCTTTGTTCAAAATGTCATTGTATGTATTTTATGCTGATTTACATATATGTAACAACCGCCTTGCCGGTCAGCCCATGCAAAGTGATGAATTCAATATTGTACATTTGTTTTCATATCTTACAGACACCGACTAAACTTAAAATAAACTTTTGTTCACAGTGTGGTTTCATCTTCCTCTGTTCACAGTGTGGTCTCAAAGTTCAATTCGACTGTAATGAAACGAACAAAAATTTTGACCTGGACGTAGTCGTTGGTGCAGCCGCTGGTCGTTTCGACGTCGAATTGATCGACGAACTCAAGTTTAACGTGGTAGCCCGCGGCTGCAGTGATGGTCCAAACACACTCGACGTTCACGGGATAGTCCTCGCTGGGGAACCCGGGGCTCGTGATGTTCCCCCCATGGCCGTGCAAAACTCCACCGCATCCTTGCGTGACAGGAATATGTTGCCTCTTATGAACGAGGCACCAACCAAAATAAAATATCATTGTATCGGGAGTTGTATCGACATTTACAATAAGACAAAAGTTACTGGTTTTATCACGAATAAGGTTAAATGTGTACATAAATATGGAAGTAAAAGTGCACACCGGCATCATGTTGCGTGGCTAGGGCCCTGAAGCCGCGGCTGGATGTGGTAGCGTCGGTTAAGAAGAGCAGGGTGAGGGCGTTGCTCATGGAGGGGCCCACGCTGCCGGGGTTGTCGGTGCCGGTGTACCGCCCGATCTCCGGGGACGTTAGGAGGGCGCCGTTCAGGAGCCTCACGTAGTCGTGGTGGATCGAGTCCTCCAACTCGAAGTTCGTGAACACGAACTGAAATATTGATTTGTGACAACCACTTCGTGAACACAAACTGAAATATTGCTTTTTGACAACCAATTCGTGAACACGAACTGAAATATTGCTTTTTGACAACCACTTCGTTAACACGAACTGATATATTGCTTTTTGACAACCACTTCGTGAACACGAACTGATATATTGCTTTTTGACAACCACTTCGTTAACACAAACTGATATATTGCTTTTTGACAACCACTTCTGTCTCTTATACACATCTAGATGTGTATAAGAGACAGCGTCCTGGTGTCGTTGACGGGCTGGGGCTCGAGGTCGAAGCGTGAGAACTGGAGGCGAACGACGTGGTCGGTGGGCGCGATGAGCAGCCAAGGACCTGTCTCTTATACACATCTAGATGTGTATAAGAGACAGGCATCACTGTCACATACATATATTTGTTGCCTCTAAGACAGAAATTGTTGAATGTTGACAGAAATTGTTGAATGTTGACAGAAATTGTTGAATGTTGAATTAAAGCTTGTGGCACTCATAGAATCTCACGTCCGAGCAATTTATGCTGTGTTAATATCGCAACGAGTAGCAAATATTTAAGCGAAAAAGAAATATAGAGAAGCGTAACTCTTGCATTGAATTATATGATCGAAATCAATTTCCGTTAATGAACTTCTGCATACCGTTACTCCACGGAAGCGCGTTTGCTGGCGTGTGCTTATTTCAACGTTACTCACGATGAAGTAGATTCTTACAGCGATAATAACGGTACTCACGATTAAGAAGATGCGTACAGCGATCATTCTAACGGTACTCACGATGAAGTAGAAGCGACCAGTGATTATAATGATACTCACGATGAAGTAGATGCCTACAGCGATTATACTAGCGGTACTCACGATGAAGTAGATGCCTACACCGATTATTCTAACGGTACTTACGATGAAGTAGAAGCGACCAGTGATTATAACGATACTCAAGATGGAGTAGATGCGTACAGCGATTATTCTAACGGTACTCACGATGAAGTAGATTCTTACAGCGATTATTCTAACGGTACTCACGATGAAGTAGAAGCGACCAGTGATTATAACGATACTCAAGATGAAGTAGATGCTTACAGCGATTATACTAGCAGTACTCACGATGAAGTAGATGCGTACAGCGATTATACTGTGAAAAACTGTACATATTGCTGTTGATGAAAGTACTTATATTATCAGTCTGCTTATATCGCAAGTTCACAAGGAATTTAAAAGCAACGAAAACGCATAGAAAATTCACCATATCGATATTGAAAACGTTTCGGAGTCCAGCTCCATCATCAGTTCGACTAAACTAAAAATGAATAAAATCATTTTATAAATTCGAAATTCAAAGACAGAAATAAAAGCTAAACAAGCTTAAACCTAACATTATATCGAAATAAACAGGACTAGATTGAAACAACTTAGTCCTAGGGGTAAGACAAGAATATAAAAGCCTAGCGATTCACTATTTCCAAATTATATGAACTTAACGCATTATTGAGACTCGGTTTTCGTTTGAAGATATGTAGAGACTTCAAAATTCTAAAATCCAAGCAGCCAGAAGTGGAACCGAGTATCCTGAAATTACTCTCAGATACAGCCACGTCGAACTGTTCAGCACGGAGGCGCACGGAAGAATGAGGAGGCTTGGCGAGAGGCAAGTTAGAACGATAGCTCCTGCCACGGTGTTCAGAAACCCGGATGTAGAAGTTACGCGACGTCATTCCAACATACGCAGATGCACAGCGTGCACAACAGAACTCATAGACCAGGTTTGATCGCATCCGAGCAGAAATAACGTCCTTATTATTCAGGTATAAAGACGTTATTCCTGCTGGAATAAACCTGGTCTATGAGTTCAGTTGTGCACGCTGTGCATCTGCGTACGTTGGAATGACGTCGCGTAACTTCTACATCCGGGTTTCTGAACACCGTGGTAGGAGCTATCGTTCTAAATTGCCTCTCGCCAAGCCTCCTTATTCTTCCGTGAGCCTCCGTGCTGAACAGTGCGACGTGGCTGTATCTGAGAGTAATTTCAGGATACTCGGTTCCACTTCTGGCTGCTCGGATTTGAGTATTTTGGAGTCTCTACATATCTTCAAACGAAAACCGTGTCTCAATAATGGGTTTAGTTCATATAATCTGGAAATAGTGAATCGCTAGGTTTTATATTCTTGTCGTACCCCTAGGACTAAGTTGTTCCAATCTAGTCCTGTTTATTTCGATATAATGTTAGGTCTTGTTTAGCTTTCATGTCTGTCTTTGAATTTAGACTCATAAAATGATTTTATTCATTTCTAGTTTATTCGAACCGATGATGGAGCTGGACTCCGAAACGTTTTCAATATCGATATGGTGAATTTTCTTGGCGTTTTCTTTGCTTTTAAATTCCTTGCTGTTAATAAATTCCTAGTGAGGCCGGTTGCATCAAATAGTAGGCTTCCGACCTTCTCTCACAAATTTTGCTTCAGGGAAAAGTGACGAGTGCGGGGCAGTTTTGTCGCTAAGGATGTCCTTCGAGCCGATCTGCGAAAGTCATTCCTCTGGCCTTTATAGTAGCAGCTATTGACTGTCGATACGGATTCGGTTCTTGTTTCCGCAGTGCGCTGTCTGACGACAGATTATTCGAATGTATGAGCCACCTGCTGTGTCATTTTTTTTAGTATAAAACAGTTAATTTCCTGGTTACAAAGTGACCTAGTTTGTGTCTTATAAAAGTGATTTAAGGCTCAGTGATAACTGGAAAACAGTGTTTCTGTTGCGCAAATAATATTATTGTTCGAAGAGAACTAGACGCTCTTTGTTGTGGTCATCTTTGACGTTGAAAGCGCCCGGTCACAGACTGACTCCAGTTTCCGCATACCATCCGCCTTGAGCGGCGCCTAAAGCCGGCAGCAGTACTCCAGAATGGGGAGCACGTACGAGGGCTGTTCAGTTAATCATGGTTTACCAATAGGCCGGGCGGTTAAGCACAGCAGAATTGTAGCAGTGAGTTGCGAGTTCGAGACCGCAAAATGCTGTGAATGTTCTGCGATGTTAAGAATAGGCGGCAGGCCTACGGTCTAATAACGCTGAAACCGCTATTATATTTATTATTAAAATAAATTTATTGCACGAGTCGGAGATTGGGCTCATACTGAAAAAGGATTTATGTAGTTCTGCCCAACCTGCACGTGAATTCAAACTCATACAATAAATATGTTGCACGAGTCAGAGATTGGGCTCATACTGAAATAGGATTCATGCAGCTCAAATATGAATCCTATGAATCGAAGCCTACTTTTGACTGTTGTCAAAGCGATGTAAATTTTTAGTACCAACTCAATTCTTCGCTTTGATTGGAAACGATTTTGAAAGGTACGAACTAAAGAAGAAACTTCAAATGATTCTGTCTATTTCAAGTTCATTAGCTTTAATTGGCGTGCAAAATGGAGACAAGTAAAATTTACAAGAAGCACTGAGAATAAATATCTATCATAGTCGTACCGCTAACAGAAAAATTTTACAAACTTTTGCTCGGAAGTCATTGGAATTTCTCCAAAAATCCTTTTATCACAACACACCAATTATTCCAATGAAACTATTATCAACTCCCTATATTGTAGCAAAATTTAAGGTTAGAATGAAGAAATAATCATTTGAATTAAGTGTCACTTATGATCATTTTAAATAATTTAGTGTCGCTATAGGTTATATATTAATATTAATTAATTAATTAAGTGTCGCTTACATTCGACGTCCTGCAGAGTGCACGGCTCAGCGAAGGCGAGCGACGTAGTTAGGGCTGTGTTAGTAGTTAGGGCTGTGTGAGTAGTTAGGGCTGTGTGCGTAGTTAGGGCTGTGTGAGTAGTTAGGGCTGTGTGATCTGTGCCTTACCAGCGGCAGTTTACTCTTGTGGCTACCTACAGTCTTTTAACCAAGAACTCTTATATTAACTGTAACGAATAACTTTTATATTAACTGTAACAAAAAACCCTTATATTAACTGTAACGAAGAACTCTAATATTATCTATAACAAAGAACTCTTATATTAACTATAACCAAGAACCCTTATATTAACTATAAGTTATTATAACGAAGAACCCTTATATTAACTATAACAAAGAACCCTTATTTTAACTCATCTATAGCTAGACAGGACGGCATCTTTAGAATTATTGGTACATAAGTTGAGAATGACCACGAGAAACATTAAGATATTGATTGTCGAATGACTTTTCAATGAAGCATTGCGAGTAAATGATGCTTCATATTTTATTTATTATATATAATTTTTTGTAAAATCAGAGGAGCTTCAGATCAAATTGTAACCCTAATAAGGCCCTCGCAGTAACTAACTAGCACTCTGTCATGTAAATCTCGTTAGACTTACTCCGAACTAACGATCGACGTCTTAGCCTATGCCTGTCTGCTGTATCTCTATATCATGAATAACCACAACATATCAGATAAATTCTATAGAGAGAAGTGTCTTACTCATTCCTCACGCACTAATCCCTCTCCTCAGGTGCAGAGATCCAGGTCACGCACGGTGATAGTATCTGTAGCCCACCTGTATGTAGGCATGGCAGAACCACCGTCCCCGCTCGTCCAGGTCCAGGAGTTACGTCTTCATAGCAGCACTTACGCAACACGTAAGTGGCTACGTGTACGTAGCGATGTTTGGATAATCCCCGGCTCCAGGTCACGCACGGTGATAGTATCTGTAACCCACCTGTATGTAGGCATGGCAGAACCCCCGTCCCCGCTCGTCCAGGTCCAGGAGTTACGTCTTCATAGCAGCACTTACGCAACACGTAAGTGGCTACGTGTACGTAGCGATGTTTTGATAATCGCGCCCCAGGTCACGCACAGCGATAGTGTCTGTAACCCACCTGTATGTAGGCATGGCAGAGCCACCGTCCTCGCGGGTCCAGGTCCAGGTCACGTACGGTGAGGGTAACTCTCTTCCCCTCGGGTGCCGTGATCCGCCAATCACAGACTCGGCCGTGGGAGTAGCCGTGAGGGTAGCCTGGGGATGATATGTTCCCCGCCCTTCCACTCAACTCCCCGCCACATTCTGATAGGATACAAAAATTTTACTTGAATAGAGGCTTTTAAAAACATCATAGGAAATATATCTTGGAATGATGTAAATATTTCATCAAACATTCCCTGAAATGTAGTAAATATTTTAACTACATGATTATGAATGAAATAAATATTTCACCAAAATATACCCTTGAATGCAGTTAAAATGTTAACATACATAACTATGATTGAAGTAAAGATTTTACGAAGTATAACTTAGCATGAAGTCAATATTGGAACAGGTAATAATTGCCTTCATGATGACAAAATGCAGTGAATTATTCCCACAATAGCGTGCCAATGCCTTTTTTTTATCACACATGATGAATGATCTAATTGATCGTATATTTATAAATAGAAAATAATAAATATGAGTGCTTATTGAATCAACATTATGTAAAACGACCAACAGCCGATCATGTTCACAGTTTTAAACGTATCAATTCCGACCAACCTTCCTCATAATGTTCCATAACCCAACGGCTTGATACATAAATGGCATTACAATTTCGCTCGTAGTTGAGTATTTGTTTATCTACGTCTTACAGGGTCACGATAAGCTTATTGGGAGTGTCTATGGAAAAAATATATATATGAAAATAAGATAGAGGAAAACAGCAACACGCAGGAGGGATTTAGATGTCGGGTAGATATGAAGGCGGCGCTTGCTATAGTAACATTTTAACGTGAAGTGCAAGTAGTGCGGTTAGAGGAATTACTTAACGCACACTAGGCCATTTTGATCCACCATCGCCAGTAAGACCAGCACACCCCTGCTTGTCACCCCAGCACATCCCTTTTTGTCAGCCCAGCACATCCCTGTTTGTCAGCCCAGCACACCCGTGCTTGTCAGCCCAGCACACCCCCACTTGTCAGCCCAACACACCCCCACTTGTCAGCCCAGCACACCCGTTCATGTCAGCCCAGCACACCCCTGCTTGTCGGTCCAGTGCACCCCCCAGCACACCCCTGCTTGTCAGTTCAGCACACCAGCGCTTGTCAGCACAGCATATCCCTGTTTGTCAGGCCAGCACATCCCTGCTAATCACCCCAGCACACCCCAGCACTCACCCTCCACACTGGCGTTGTACATGATACTGAAGCCGCTGGCGCCCAGAGGGTTGGTCCCCGCAAAGAAATTCAGTACGGCGATGTTCGAGCTCGTTTCTAGCGACAACGGCAGGCGGTTACCACACACGCGATCGAGGACTTGCTCTGACGAGAAAAAGGACAAAGAATTAAATTTTTTGCATTAAAATTTTTAGCTCCACTAAATTTTGACATAGTTGTTTGAGTTTCCACTCAAATCCTTACGGATAAATATCAGACCGCACCGCTCTAGGCTCCTACCTGTCCCGTTCAATTCGGGGTCGCGGATCTCGAGGAAGCCGCGGTCGTCGGAGCAGTTGGGGGAGGACGAGTGCACATCCAGACGCAGGAAGCGCAGGGAGACGAAGTGTCCCTGAGGAGCGGCCAGCGTCCACGAGCAATTAGTGAAGGCGCCGTACGCAGACGGGAAGCCCGGCGACGAGATCACGCCGCTGCTCGTGAAGTTGATGGAGCCGCCGCATGTACCTTTTGCATTGTACGAGACGAATTGTCATCGAGATATAAGTTATTTTATATCTGGTATAATGTTGCAATCTAGAAATCACTTTTATTTGAATGAACTGCATATTGAGACGATGACTAAGTAAGATTAGAAAGCCTGGCGCTAACTTCCACACGCTATACGCTGACTTTCATATTTCAGGTGCGTGGTCATTTGGTAAATTAATTATTGAATTTCCCAGGTTTTTATTAATCTACAATATACAATGGAGTGTAACTACAGTTACAATATATATGAATGCTTTGTATTCTGAATTCTCGTGAAATTAACTATTCTCAATAAATGGGTCATTGAAATTCATTTCGTATTAGCGGAGGACTGTGGCACTGAATTAGTTGAACTTCAGTTTCTTGTTGAAATAAAAAGATAGCATTCAATACTTTGTATACATAATCTAAATTAATGTAGAGTTGCTTCGGAGCGACATTTTTACAAGCGACGGCTGCACACGTTCCGGAACTTTAGCGTTGGTATCTGCTCTCCAGGGTAGCAGGGACGTTGTTGTTCATGACACTACGCTACAAACAACTGAACAGTATTCACTTAAAAACACGCACTACTATAATATAGAGAGATTGGCATACAAATATATTTTCCCTCCCATTTGCAGCAGCATTTGAACAATACACGCGATACCGATTAAATGGGTTAAATTTAACTTTTGCTTGATGTTTGACGTCTCCTGAAGGTTCTGCAGTCTGCTGCAACGGTCAGCACCGAAGTATCAGTTCACAATCAAGTTTTTATTTCCTTTTGGTAGCCTGCCATGATATCTTGGGTACATCGTCGTGCTCAATCTGTTTCTCTAAGGAACAGACGCTATAGCAATTCCTCCGAGGCCGCACATTAGTATCGAAACAAAACTAATATGTCAATCGAGGTTTCATTTTTGGAAACATGTTCCTTAAAATAACGAATTATCCTGCTAAGCCAGGCTACCTACTACCTAATAATCACACACAGCCTTAACAGCACTTCTAGTTCTCAAACAGTTAATGCATGTTTTAGAACTTTTTTATGAGTGTTCGAAGCTCGGAATCATTGACCCCACAGTGTTTCGTTAGGTGTGATGTGAGACATCAGATTTCGTACTTAATTGCGAATTGCACTTAATTGCTCTTCGTAAATAGTATACACATACCTACCTACACTTGCTTCATGGGGAACCTCATATAATAAATAAACTTGACCCGCCTCACAATACATCCTTCCGAGATTCGCTGAGCTGAGCTTACCTATAATTTCGTTTTTTTCTGTTGCAAGCTTTTGACATAAGGTGACATCATCTTGTACGTGAATGAGTTCTCACCTATGGAGACGTTAGCCTTGAAGCCGCTGTGAGGGTCTGTGACGTTGCTGTAGTACCGGATGAACATCACCGACCCCAGAGACTGCAGGGAGTTGAGCGGCGACCTGCCACAAAACTTGCCCAGCGAAGGTGCCAGCATCGTGCCACCGTCCCGCACCTCCACGTACGCTTGCTCGCACGTCCCGCTGTCGTTTGCAACACATCATAATGTCAGGGCCCATATTTTCAAAAAAAAGTTAAGAGATCGTTAGTTCATCAGCCAATCATTGACGACCTTTCGAGCAAAATCCACCAATCATAGTGGATTATCCATAGCAAAATCCACCAATCGTCACTTTTCCGAAAAACTTTGAACGAAGGTATGTTGCCGGCTGACTGGAAAGAAGCTCAAGTGACACCATTGTTCAAAAAAGGTGACAAAAGCTGCCCGGGCAACTATCGCCCTGTCAGTTTGACAAGTGTTGTTTGCAAGGTAATGGAATCTGTTGTGAGGGATCGATTGATAGATCATTTGACTGCTAGTAATCTCCTATCAGACTGTCAACATGGCTTTATTGCCGGGAGATCCTGCACCACTAACCTCTTCATAAAGCTCAAGCTACCAAGGCCTTGAAATAATGGCTCAACTCACTCATTGGATGCTATGTCGAACTGATCAACGAATGTGAGGTTAACAATTCGTTCATGCGGGGCTGTGATGACCCAGGAACATTCAGTGTGAGGATGCGGGGGATGAGGGTAGTCGGGTGTAGTTATCATCACTTGATTGACGTCATCGCTGAGACGATGTAGGCCTCCACACGCTGCTGAAACTTCACTGTATCTGATGTGGAAGCCCTGCGTGCAATATCCTGTATTATTATTATCCCTACATTGAGACATAATGAAATAGAATGCTCAGTTTTAGTGCGTAACATTTCACGTAAGAAAAATTATAAAACATTCCAATGAATTTTCATATTTTGTACAGCGAATTTAGTTGTGCTTGCAGCTCCGCAAAAGTTCACTATTACAACTACTTTTATCGTTGTGGCGTTGTAAAGGGCTACAAGACAATGGATAAAAGGGCGCCTCAGCTAAGCAATTATCGGAAAAGTGACCAGGACCTTTTGTCGAAGTCCGGAAGAGATTTCCAAAGTTTGAAAAAAGAGGGACTCTGGGGGTGTGATGATGTTGGGTTCAATCAACTGGTATAAAGTTTTTATATTTATTCAAACGAGTTCAGAATCACGATCATTACTAGGTAGCCTATTAAACTAAGGAGAGACTATAACTATAGAGAGTCTTCTAGAGAGGAGAGGGACTTCGCTCTGTCCTGCCGAGACAAACAAACGACACAAATAAATACACATCGAAATGAACAATACAGAAAGATAATTCAATAATCTAAAATATAATAATTCACGGACACTTAAAGAAGAGCACTGATCCAAATTCACGCGTACCTGAGAATAGCGTACTGCAGCCTATAATAGCTCAGTCAGCCTCACGAGGAAACAAGAGACAAAGTGCTTCAACTTGACTGGCTAGGCCTTACAACAAGTACTGTTCCGACAAGTAGTGCGGATAACCTTCTTACAGGGGGAGGGACTGGGTACTAGCTCTTAGGGGCTTGGTACTATAGCTCTTAAGGGCTTGGTATCAGCTCATAAGGAATTTAGCTTGAACTTGTTACTTGTTCTACACTTTCCTTATTAGCTTTTACAAACCAAAGAGCGCCACTTCGGAGACTGAGACCCACCCGGTCGGTGTTGCTGCCGTCAGTTTTGAACTGCAGTGAGACGACGTTGGAGGAGCTGACGAGAGGAGCAGGAGGAATGTTGCCACAGTAGCGGCCGTTACCAAGGTATGGAGACGACACAGATCCTCCGTTTCGTACCTAAAAACAGGTGGTTTTTATTCAACACCATGCCTTTATCAACGTTGATTTTAAGTGATCACAAGGCACTGCATGAATTCTTTCTGTCTTTATTCCCTTCAGATGGGAGAACGCAAGAAGACTAGAATCATGACAAAACAAAGTGCTAACGGTCCGTAGTCCGTACTGAAAACCTGTACAAGCTGATCAGCTTCAAAAGCAATAAAAGGCTTACGAATAATTATAATATGCAAAAAACAGCGTTAAAGCATAACACAATAAAAACTACATAGAGCAGCCGGGCACGAAATTGAACACATCGCATACAAATAACATGGTATACGTAAAACTGACATCAGCATCGATCAGTTTCTAAATCATTAAACTAGTACAACATAAGTATCTGGATAATCATTGTGAACAAAAATCTATCAGTTAATATTACTATACTATATCATTACCATGAATTAGTAACAACTCTATCATACTGTATTAGTGATATAAGATTAAAATTAGCTACAACATGGTCGTCATAAGCCAAAACGGTAAAGCTTACTCATGATATATCGGTACTAGAGACAAGGTCAAAGGATTTCAACAGGTCAAGGAGAAGGCAATGCATTGGTCTTTTGAGTTATTCGTCCTAAGTAGATTTCACACTATAGGTATAAAGATAATCTTCTCTAGAGCTATTTTAAGACTCAGACACATGAACAGGCACACAATTACTGATAAAGAATGGTAGTTAGAAATGTTGAAACCCACGACAGACGAACAAGGGTCTTTGCTTTGTTCACAAGATGCTTGATTATGACAAGATTAAGAGCCTTGTTCAATATTGTTTAAAAAAATTTCAATGACCTGCATGATAACATTGCTAACCCATGAGCTTGTTAGTACTGCAAATCACTTCTACGGACCGATCAGTGCAACAGTTTAGTTCTTAACCAACTAACACGGAGATAATTTACAGTAGTTTAATGACCAGGAAGCAATTTCGTGAAAAAATATCTAAAATGATCAAATTAGAATGCCAATTACCGCTCAATGGACATTTTAAAAATATAATTTTGAAACGAAAATACGAGCGAAAAGGTCGAATAATAAATTTCACAAAATATGGTATCTTACAGAAGACATACCAGCAAGTAGTCGTCCATGCAGTTGGCAGTTGTGTTTGCTATCCTCATGAAGTCGAAGTCGAGTTTGATGGTACGGCCCGGACGCAGCCTGATGGTCCAGGCGCAGTCAAGACGGTTGCGGTAGTCGCTCGTCGGGAAGCCTGGGGTCGCGATGTAGCCGTCGGGGTCGTGAAGCACTCCTCCGCACACTAAAGCATTTGTAACAAAAACTTAGTTACGGTTTTAAGGTTGTTGAACGTCTGGTGATTATTTTAACCCAATTAGAATTCAGACCCGCATCAGCTTCTGATTACTGGAATCAGAAGCTGCCACGCCTCTGAATTTTGTAAGGGAATGTTAGTTTTGACGGTAAATAGCATCAGACATTAAAAATATTAACACAAATGACAATGGATTACGCCTGGTGTAGGGATATTTAGAATGTGATTCTTACTGATAATAAAGCGAAGAGTTCAATGGCGATATTGTCCAATTACAGTATCGAATTCGTTTGTTCTAATTGTTCATTTTTTTATTAAACTTGATTATTGGTCCCATGTTCTACACTCAACTTGCGTTAATATGAAAGAAGACGAAGTATAATGAATTATTGAAAGGTTATTTATATTTATGGGCAGGGTGGCCTAGTGGTTAGCGGTTAAGCAAAGAAAATTTGAAGTAGTTAGTTGTGAGTTCCAGCCCGCAACAAGCTTTGGATGTTCTGCAATGTTAAGAATTGGCGGCAGGCCTACGGCCTAATAAACGCTGAAACCTCTATATTTAAACATGCCCTGAACGAAACCTAGCCTTAGCTTTGAATCACGAACCAAGCCTCTTCTGGCAACTGCAACATTTCTCACACGGCGCTGCCTCCTTAAACATGAAAAAGAGGCTCGTTCAAAATTCCGATGAAATTTTATGACACATTTCATTGGTCAAACTAACCTGCCCTGGCAAAGGCGGAAAATCCTCTCCTAGTAACAGAGCTGTCAGTCACAAATCGTAGCTTCATAAGACTCCCGTCAGAAACTATCGTTCCCAAACCGCGTCTCTGGTCCCGCCGGCAGAGGCGGTGAGTCTGGTTCCAGTTGTCGTACCCATCGATTCCTGACGTATAAAATAATGGCGGCTTTGAGATCGTGTAGAAATTTTATTTCCATACTAAGATCATCAAGAATAAAATTTTCACTTAAGCTGCATCGCCACCAGACTAGTGGCCGTTGTAGGACTATTAAATCCCAATATTAAATTATTTTTAAACTACTATAGAGTATGCAAAGAGCGCACCAAAATGGGACAATTATTTTTTATTGCGCTGATGTAATACATAATATGTACTTTAATTACAATTACAAGACCTTCCTCTCTCATCTCAGAAACTTTATTTTTATCGTCGCTACATTGCTGGGCTCACCATTGTAAATGGCAATCCAGTCGAACTGGCAGTCCTCATGCTCTTCAAGATCGTAGTAAATGAACAACCTTATGCGGTTGTGAGGTGACGCTTGCAAGATCCACTCGCAGTTGAGACTGTTGTTGTAGTCGTCAGGGTAATTGGGACTGTTTACCGTCACTTGTGTCTCCACTCGGATTGTGAACTGACAATTCGGGTCCACTTGGTCTGGGAATATATTGGATAAATTACTCGACAGAACTCATTTGCAGACTCCAAAAATATTTAAGTTTCATTTTCAATGGAATGAACTGCGAAAAAACTGAAACAATAATTAGGTACAGAATTTTCAATATTGTGTTTTTTAAAATCCTTTGAAAAAGTTATTCCCAGCTGCGCCCAACAGAATTTTCGTGGATAGAATTATTTACAAATTCTTGTCAAACTTCAAGGAATCGTGATTCATGAATTAATGAAATTTCACGCTCACGAGAGCGTTCATTTCTTTCATCGCTCACGAGAGCTAAGAATGTGCATAAGTCAATAAAATTGAAAAAAAAATTGAATCAACGATCAAAAATATTTGTTCATCATTCACTACCCTCAACCTCAATATTATCTCAAGTCCTGATAAGGCGGCCTGTGGCTGCGACTTGACAAGAAGTAATTGGTGGCAAATTCCACTTCTATGCATGCACGAATGTCTTGCTTTGGCCTCCTCTGAATTAATCTTTTCGTATGTGAAATGTATGCTACTTTTTCTCACCAAAACTTCAATGGAAAATCTTAATGATATTCATATAGATCATTGTTTTATTTTCTGAATGAACAAAATTTTATAAAAAATGTGAAACGCATTATCTTCTGAATTATGCGTGATATGGCAGCTAGTCAAACCTGTCCCCGCGTGTTGCACGGTGGTTCCGTTGGAAGCGTCAAGAGAGTTGTAGCGCAGGCTGAACTTGGAGCCTTCGAAACGCGACCGCGACGTGAACACAATCAGGACCTGAGGACCTAGCGACACCACAGGCTGGGTGGGGGCAACGTAGCCGCAGAACTGGCCCAGTAATATGGAGTAATCTCGGCTCCAGCCACTGTAGATCTGGTCAACATCAGACGCAGAGGTCAATTCGTCGGTACTTATCAAGGAGGCTAAACTTCATTAGATGATAAGCCAATACAAGAAGCAGAAGAGAAAGATAATAAATCAACATAAGGTACCCGCAATGACAAAACTTTTCGGCAATTTTTGTGCAACGCAAATTAATGTGCCCGTTTCAGTAAACATCACTGAAATTGACGATTATAAATGAAAAAAAATATAATTTCTTCCACGGTATGAAGCAATCTGCAGTATACATTGCGTCAAATTCTTACCGTGATTGAGGAGAGACAGTCGTCCGAAGAAGGATCGAGTTCGATGTTCATCTCGTCAATGGTGACAGAAGCGTAGTTACCAGTCACTTGCACACGCCAGGTGAACTCGTTGAGTCCATGGTAGGTGTGGGGGTAGAGGGGGGACACAATCTGACCCGAGTCGCCGTACAAGACGTTGTTGAAGACTGTAATAAAAACAGGTGTTCACTTCATGCAATAAATTTAGACTTGAATAACGAATAAATCAAGTGTGTAAACTATAAAGTTCATGTTTTTAAATTGAAGAATGGCCTCAATTTCGCTAAAAAATTTAGCATTTAGCGCAATGCACGAATGGTCAGCTCAGTCCAGACTTGTCAGCCTTGCTCAGCAGTTCAGGATCGTAAAAATATGATGTTAAAAAAACAGACGGATATTGACCGTCCTATCATGTTATCGCAAACAATTTCATTCGCTAAAAAATAAGCTATCTGTACATGGAGTCAAAACGTGCAAAAAATACTCTCACCTAAAGCATACGAAGCCATGAACCCAGCGGCAGTGCCACTGTCGCCGCTCCTGAAGCGCACCCACGCGGCCTCCTGCACCGTGAGGGCGGGCGGTGCGCCGGTGCAGTTGTGCAGTAGTAGCGGCCCCGACGAGTCGCGCTCGTGCACCTCCACGTAGTGCAGGTTGCAGTTGTCGCTCTCGACCAGCTCGAATTGCGGGAAGCTCAGCTGCACTTTGTTACCTGATTAGCGAGGGAATATATGAGGCTTTCTGTTAATACGTCATTTTAATTCAAATTAGAAATGCACGATAAGAGATTAATTGCGTATAGGTATTGAATTGCCTGCAAATGACATTAAAGTTACTATTCAAAAACATTAGCGTTACCCAGATAAATAGGCGATAGAAAAAACATAAGATTTAAACAGAAACATAAACGAAATTCTCAGCTTTGCTTCAACTAAACAACGTCCCCTCGAAATTGATGTGCGCACGACAACACTAACGCAAGCCTAACTACCGTTAAGCTAAACGATGGAAACTTAAAACTTACCCCAAAACCGTCACTCTTAGCTTACCTGGTCGGGTAAGAATCGGGTTAGTTTACCTGGCCCGGCAGTGATGGTCCAGGTACAGTCGTAGCCGTTGGGGTAAGAATCGGGGTAAAATGGTGAGGCAAACTGTCCTGATGCCGACGATAGCTCGCCGCCACAAGTCGTCGTCACTTCGCTGTACGTCGCCCTGGACATAATATTAATTATTACCTCAAGAAACTTTAGAAACCCAATCTAATTATCTTACTTCTATTCAGAAGCTGATAAATTCGAATTTAATAATTTCAGCGTTGTTATTTGCCCCGGAAATATTTTCCAGTTCACTAGAGGCTCTACTGGACAACATTTTACCGTCGTGGCGTACCGCAACTGTCAGTCAGTTGGAAGGAAGCCTGAGAATTAACTTTCAGTTCTTATGTCTACGCTATTACTATTATTATTTTAGCTGACGACTTCAATAGCAACTACACTAATGACTCGAAGGGACAGAAATATCCCTCGTACCCTCACCTGCAGCACGTACCCTCACCTGCAGCACGTATCCTCAACTGCATCATTTACCCTCACGTACCCTCATTTGCCCTCACCTGAAGCCGACACCCGTGGCCATCCTGACGACCATGCGCACGGTGAGCTGCGCCGACGACGAGTAAACCGTCGGCGGCGACGAGGTGCCACAGAAGCGAGCGACCTCGGGCGAAGACTGCGTCGCGCCGTCGTGAATCTGAAGACAATGAACGCGGTCTCAGTTTCTTGGGTTTCTTCTGATATTTTGAGAGGAAATAACAGAATAAACGCGGTCTCAGATTCATGGGTTTCTTATGATATTTTGAGCGGAAATAACACAATAAACGCGGTCTCAGATTCTTGGGTGTTTCTTATGATATTTTTAGAGGAAATAACACAATAAACGCGGTCTCTGATTCTTTGGTTTCTTATGATATTTTGAGCGGAAATAACACAATGAACGCGGTCTCAGATTCTTGGGTTTCTTATGATATTTTGAGCAGAAATAACACAATAGACGCGGTCTCAGATTATTGGGTTAATTATGATATTTTGAGCGGAAATAACACAATGAACGCGGTCTCAGATTCTTGGGTTTCTTATGATATTTTGAACGGAAATAACACAATAAACGCGGTCTTAGATTATTGGGTTAATTATGATACTTTGAGCGGAAATAACACAATGAACGCGGTCTCAGATTCTTGGGTTTCTTATGATATTTTGAGCGGAAATAGAGCTGTGAGAAAATATGGTTGACTTCGTGTGTTTTATATGATATTTTGAGTGGAAATAGAGCTGTGAGAAATATGGTTGACTTCGTGTGTTTCATATGATATTTTGAGTGGAAATAGAGCTGTGAGAAATATGGTTGACGCAATAATTATTCGTCAAGGATTATAGTTGATGATGAGTCGTATTTTGTCGTTGAGCATCAACCATGAAACTAAATAACAGGCGTAATTTTGATTTACAATTGTGACTGCATAATAAATTTTGCAATAAGAAATTGAGTAATAAACATGAAAATAAATTTGTAGTTCTGACCGCAACATAGTCGCTGATGCAGCTGCCATTGTTCCAAGCGAACGACGGGATGTTGATGTCCAGGTGGTTGAACACCAGCTGAATGCGTTCGCCTGCACAGGAAAGTACGCAATATCGTCATAGAACATCGATGGAAGAAATTACGTTAGCATGCATTTGCCTTATTTCTGTGGCCTTGAAGCATGCACGCCGAAACATTTTCGGTATAAATCCAAAGAATTTAACAATATTTACAACCGAAATTGCTATATAAACCTGAACATAAGGCAAAGACTTAGCCAACGATTTCTGTGATGACTTGAAATGTAATATCATGTATACGCAAATGTAGAGAGCTTATATTTAGATATTTAGAGCGATATTTAGAAGCTGATTAAGGTACGCGCAAGAGAGGCAGTTACAGCAATTGTGATCCCTAAATCCATTATTAGGCCATATTTAACGCTAATTGATACCTGGAGAAGCTTCCAGGTGCCAGGTGCAGTTAACCCCCGCCTGGAAGACGTTCGGGAAGTTGGGCGAGGTTAGCTGTCCCACGGNGCAGCACGTACCCTCACCTGCAGCACGTACCCTCACCTGCAGCACGTACCCTCACCTGCAGCTCGTACCCTCACCTGCAGCACGTACCCTCACCTGCAGCACGTACCATCACCTGCAGCACGTACCCTCACCTGCAGCTTGTACCCTCACCTGCAGCACGTACCCTCACGTACCCTCACTTGCCCTCACCTGCAGCACGTACCCTCACCTGCTGCTCGTACCCACACATGCATCATTTACCTTCACTTACCCTCACTTGTCCTCATTTGCCACACGTACCCTCACCTGCAGCACGTACCCTCACTTGCCCTCACCTGAAGCCGACACCCGTGGCCATCCTGACGACCATGCGCACGGTGAGCTGCGCCGACGAAGAGTAAACCGTCGGCGGCGACGAGGTGCCACAGAAGCGAGCGACCTCGGGCGAAGACTGCGTCGCGCCGTCGTGAATCTGAAGACAATGAACGCGGTCTCAGTTTCTTGGGTTTCTTCTGATATTTTGAGAGGAAATAACAGAATAAACGCGGTCTCAGATTCATGGGTTTCTTATGATATTTTGAGCGGAAATAACACAATAAACGCGGTCTCAGATTCTTGGGTGTTTCTTATGATATTTTTAGAGGAAATAACACAATAAACGCGGTCTCTGATTCTTTGGTTTCTTATGATATTTTGAGCGGAAATAACACAATGAACGCGGTCTCAGATTCTTGGGTTTCTTATGATATTTTGAGCAGAAATAACACAATAGACGCGGTCTCAGATTATTGGGTTAATTATGATATTTTGAGCGGAAATAACACAATGAACGCGGTCTCAGATTCTTGGGTTTCTTATGATATTTTGAACGGAAATAACACAATAAACGCGGTCTTAGATNGTTGAACACCAGCTGAATGCGCTCGCCTGCACAGGAAAGTACGCAATATCGTCATAGAACATCGATGGAAGAAATTACGTTAGCATGCATTTGCCTTATTTCTGTGGCCTTGAAGCATGCACGCCGAAACATTTTCGGTATAAATCCAAAGAATTTAACAATATTTACAACCGAAATTGCTATATAAACCTGAACATAAGGCAAAGACTTAGCCAACGATTTCTGTGATGACTTGAAATGTAATATCATGTATACGCAAATGTAGAGAGCTTATATTTAGATATTTAGAGCGATATTTAGAAGCTGATTAAGGTACGCGCAAGAGAGGCAGTTACAGCAATTGTGATCCCTAAATCCATTATTAGGCCATATTTAACGCTAATTGATACCTGGAGAAGCTTCTAGGTGCCAGGTGCAGTTAACCCCCGCCTGGAAGACGTTCGGGAAGTTGGGAGAGGTTAGTTGTCCCACAGTGCCGGGGTTGAGGCTGAGCCGTGCTCCACATGCCTGGAAAAGCAACAAGCCGAGGGTACATGTATAAGTAATCCTTCCTACATCGCGCTGCATTGATGACAACATTTTAAGAAATACTTTACAAAAATTCGAAATATATGTACGTTGAAACGTATTTTGCTCTAGGCTAGCATATGACACGACACGCCCACACAACTCTTGTCTCTGAATGGGTGAGTGCTGAAAAGGTACTGTCCATTGTGTAAAGAACGAATCTTCTATTTTCTTCTTCAAATATATGTTTGAAGTTGCCTAAAAATGCATAGCATCCACTAAGCCGTTTCGGTAATATGCCCAACTGACACTAAGCGAGTTTTTACGTCTCTAAATTTGTTAATTACGAAAATGGAAAACGCACTACCAGCGTGGAATTCGGTATATCGGGAAGTGGAGGGGAGAAAGCAGTTAATACGTTAGTCGAGAGAGCCAGTCTTAAACCATTACTTGATGTTCTCATGGCAGTATATGGTCATATATAAATGTATACTTTCATGCACACTTGATGTTAGGCATAGATAAGGAACTTACGCATGCGAAGGTGACACTAATTCGCAATTTTTTACTTATTGCATCCTGTTCTAATCTCTCTAAACCGCGGCAAACGAAGAATCGCCAAACTTTGTATATAATAAAATGAAAACTTCACAAAACGTTGCATAACACATCTTTACAAACTCATTATGATCGTTAGAATATTCTGAGCGACATGGATAAGCATTTACGTGTACAGCGAACACCATGCAGCCATCTAATTCTTGCTACTCTTTGTGCTATTGATGGTAGCATCCATAACAAGGCATGATGGTAGCATCCACAACAAGGCTTGATGGTACTGTAGCATCCGCAACAAGGCATGATGGTAGCACCCAGAACAAGGTATGTCACAGAAGGGTGATACATGCCGGGACAGAAGGGTGATACATGCCGGGACAGTAGGATGATACATGCCGGGACTGAAGGGTGATACATGCCGGGACAGAAGGGTGATACATGCCGGGACAGTAGGATGATACATGCCGGGACTGAAGGGTGATACATGCCGGGACAGAAGGGTGATACATGCCGGGACAGTAGGATGATACATGCCGGGACTGAAGGGTGATACATGCCGGGACTGAAGGGTGATATATGCCGGGACAGAAGGATGATATATGCCGGGACAGAAGAGTGATACATGCCGGGACTGAAGGGTGATATATGCCGGGACAGAAGGGTGATATATGCCGGGACAGAAGAGTGATACATGCCGGGACTGAAGGGTGATATATGCCGGGACAGAAGGGTGATATATGCCGGGACAGAAGAGTGATACATGCCGGGACTGAAGGGTGATATATGCCGGGACAGAAGGGTGATATATGCCGGGACAGAAGAGTGATACATGCCGGGACTGAAGGGTGATATATGCCGGGACAGAAGGGTGATATATGCCGGGACAGAAGAGTGATACATGCCGGGACTGAAGGGTGATATATGCCGGGACAGAAGGGTGATATATGCCGGGANACAACAAGGCATGATGGTAGCATCCACGCTATTGATGGTAGCATCCACAACAAGGCATGATGGTAGCATCCACGCTATTGATGGTAGCATCCACAACAAGGCATGATGGTAGCATCCACGCTATTGATGGTAGCATCTACAACAAGGCATGATGGTAGCATCCACGCTATTGATGGTAGCATCTACAACAAGGCATGATGGTAGCATCCACGCTATCTATGGTAGCATCTACAACGAGGCATGATGGTAGCATCCACGCTATTGATGGTAGCATCTAGAACAAGGCATGATGGTAGCATCCACGCTATTGATGGTAGCATCTACAACAAGGCATGATGGTTGCATCCACGCTATTGATGGTAGCATCCACAACAAGGCATGATGGTAGCATCCACAACAAGGCATGATGGTAGCATCCACGCTATTGATGGTAGCATCTACAACAAGGCATGATGGTAGCATCCACGCTATTGATGGTAGCATCTACAACAAGGCATGATGGTAGCATCCACGCTATTGATGGTAGCATCTACAACAAGGCATGATGGTAGCATCCACGCTATTGATGGTAGCATCTACAACAAGGCATGATGGTAGCATCCACGCTATTGATGGTAGCATCTACAACAAGGCATGATGGTAGCATCCACGCTATTGATGGTAGCATCTACAACAAGGCATGATGGTAGCATCCACGCTATTGATGGTAGCATCTACAACAAGGCATGATGGTAGCATCCACGCTATTGATGGTAGCATCTACAACAAGGCATGATGGTAGCATCCACGCTATTGATGGTAGCATCTACAACAAGGCATGATGGTAGCATCCACGCTATTGATGGTAGCATCTACAACAAGGCATGATGGTAGCATCCACGCTATTGATGGTAGCATCTACAACAAGGCATGATGGTAGCATCCACGCTATTGATGGTAGCATCTACAACAAGGCATGATGGTAGCATCCACGCTATTGATGGTAGCATCCACAACAAGGCATGATGGTTGCATTCACGCTATTGATGGTAGCATCCACAACAAGGCATGTCACATAAGGGTGATACATAAGCTTGCCAGGACTGACTGTGGTGTAGTTGGCCTGGAAGCCGCGGCCCTGCACGTTAGCGTCAGCCTTCAGGCGCAGCGTCAGCGATGGGCCAGAGGACCGCCACACCGCAGGCGTTGGCACAGACGACCCACAGTGATGCAGCAGCAGGGGCATGCTTGTGTTCTCGCCATCGTAAACCTGCAGCGAAAATCTTTGTGAAATTCGTGATCTATAAATTATTACTCAGCTAATAGAGTGACTACATTTATGGCCGGTTTTTAACATGCATNCATGCATGTACCGACAACCAATGTTCCTTTAACCACATTGATTTTGTACCTATCGGAAGGCTCGTTTTTGCCCAGTCGTAATCCAACAATCTGTTTACGGATTACCTGGACAGATTGCTGGGACACGGCAATCTCTCAGGAAGCGCAAAAGCAGTTACAATTTAATAAATTAATATAATTTAAGGCCAACTTTGTGTCCTGCATGACCTCTATATCAAGGAAGTCAAGAGAGTATTTGGTGGTTAGCATGGACATTGACCAAGCTGTGAGTACATAAGGCGTGGAGTTCTACATAGTTACAGAGAGAAAGCCGTGAGTACATAGGGCGTGGAGTTCTACATAGTCACAGAGAGAAAGCCGTGAGTACATAAGGCGTGGAGTTCTACATAGTCACAGAGAGAAAGCCGTGAGTACATAAGGCGTAGAGTTCTACATAGTTACAGAGAGAAAGTCGAGACCCCAGTTGACGGGTGTTCGGCTTGCACGCTTACTGTTAGGGCGTCGTAGGAGCAATTGGCGTCATGTTCGACGTCAAAATCGAGGAATGTGAGCTTGACGACGTGCATATGGTTGACAGTAATGGTCCAGGTACAGTCGGCATGGCTGTCGTAAGTCGATGGGTAATCGGGAGACTGAATTAACCCCTGGGGAGCGGTAAACAAACCACCGCAGCCTATAAGAAAAACAAACGTACGTAAAGTCATTACTGAATTAGTCAAGATAAAAATAGTCACGTTGTTACGCAAAATTAACAAGACTGGCCAAAAATAACTACATGACAATTTCTCGAACGGCAGTCGGAAAAGAGAATAAAATTTCATAATTGGTATGATGGTAATGAGGCTGGTGAGAATTTCAGAGCTTACCTCACAAGTTCAGGTCATCTGGTTCTTAACAAGACATTGTACAAACAAGATCAACTCGGGTCACCTATTATCTCTTCTTCGAAACTCTGATCTACGGGCAGAGTTTGAAGGCATGCTATACATGACCATGAAATGCTTTACTAATAATAACTGTCAATAATGGATTATTCTAATGACGATAACTGGAATGTAGAATTCTGATTTCTCTCTTGTGTTGTCGAAGGGTTTGAGGATGAAAGATGAGATCGGGCAATGAACAGTGTCAAAAGAATTTTTGTGATGTTTTTCGCTGCTTCTAGAGTAGAGTTTCGGACTTCTTACTGAACGGAAGTAACTAAAGTGTAAGTACATACACTCTTTTCACTCTTGGTAAAGGAAAAATTAAATAAAGGCTAAGCACACTGCAGGGACAGTTCCATTAGAAAATGGAGCTAGGTGAGGTTTTATGGATATTAAGCTTAGATGGTGCACAAGGCAGGCTTCAAACACACGCAATATTGATTTTGAATCTCGATTTCCTGAGAATCATCAAACATAGGAAGAAACTCCGTTGAGTTCACAAGCCCACCTCCAGCAAGCGTCGTGTAAGACACGACGAAGCCGCTGCCCCTGACAGAGCCATCGCTGTTCATGACGAGGAGCGCAGAGTTGCCGTCGCTGGTGACGATCACCTCCTGGGAGCTCTTGTGGCACAGCTGCGTCAGTAGCGGCGAGGAGACGTCTGGTCCACCGAATATCTGATCACAACATCACCGTCACTCATGCTTGCTCCTGATGTACTGATCTTGTGCACCCACTCACCATACAATCGTAACGTACGTTTACTTAACATGTCATCGTCACGTACTCTTGCTCGTGATAACATCATTTTTTACACCTGCTCACCATATCTTACGCACACCTGCTCACCATATCTATATCTCACCATTACGCACATCGTCTGACGGCACATCTCTCGCTATACTCTGCTGACCTTATAAGTGATGGGCACGTATCTCTATGATATTATTTTTTAATCTTGCTAACAAAAGTATTTAGAAAATTATCATACCGCGCAGCTGGTCATTCCTGCTTGTAATGTTCATTATATGATCATTCCACTGAGCAAACAAGTGCTCTGGCGAGCAGGCGTGGAACATTCTGACTTAAAACAACATACCCAATATTGGGACGTTTCAGTATATGAAACACGTGTAATTTTGGCGAAATGAAAACTACACGTTTAGATCTTTCAATAATTCAATACTAGATCAATTAGTTTGAATTGAATTAGTTTAGATCCTTCAATAATTCAATAATAGATCAATTAGTTTGAATTGAATTACTTTAGATCCTTCAATAATTCAATAATAGACCAATAAGTTTGAATTGAATTATTTTAGATCCTTCAATAATTCAATAATACATCCTTCAATAATAGATCAATACAACTACATTAATTAGAGCCTGCCTGACCTTGAGCGAGTCGAAGACACATTCATCAGTGTGCGTGGGCGCTTCGATGTCATAGCCGTGCACGGTGATTTGGACGCGCGTGCCTGGGGCGGTGCGAATGTGCCACTCGCAGTCTCGGTTGGGGGGGTAGGCGCTCGGGTAGTTGGGGCTGGTGAAGTTGCCTGCAGGCTTCCAGAAGGTGCCGCCGCAACCTGCAGCAATAACGTCTAAGTTTCAGGGTTCAAGAAGTCACACATCTTGCAAAGATGTATGTAATTTAAAGCGACATAGGAAATAATGGAGTTGAAAGTGTAATGGTATAATGCAAGTAGTGATCAATGATTCAGGTATATATTGTTATATTAATGAAGATGTCGATGGAAACAACAAATTGATTTCCATTGACCCTCATTTACTTGCATTATTTCGTGCATCAAAACACGCGAAACGTTCTTCTGGATTTGCTGATTCGTTATTGTAGAGTTCAGAATTAATTCAGTTTTTTAATTTAATTAATTAATTCATTTTACTACGCTAGTCAGTGTTATATTATTCATAAATTGTCATATTCATAAGTTGTTAATAGAACATTATTCATAAATTGTCATTTTGTTTTGAAAAAAGTAGGAGCGTCCAAGAAATTAATTTATGTACATACCTACAAGCCAGAACAGATTTTCTTCCACTCTAGCTAAAAGTAAAATATTATAACATGACAATTATAAAACATTACCGCACTAATGCTTTCCCATGCATTCTCTCTGTATCCTATCTGTTTCGTGGATCAAAATCCTGCATGGGATTACTCAACTTCTGTGGGAAGTAAGAGGATTAAATTGCACGAAGAATAAAATTTGAAGGCGTTCGTTACCTATAATCTGCCACTCAGCCCTGAAGCCGTTCATGGCAACGGAAGCATCGCTTATGAAGACAACCTCCATGACGTCCATACCCTCCCCTGACAACTGGGGACGAGGTGTCCGAGTCCCACAGAAATGTCCCAGCACCGTCCGGTCCGCTTCCATTTGACGTCCAACGCGCAGCTACGGGGATCGAGAGAATTGTATTATGCCGCAGTATTATCATTTGGCACCCATGCCGCAGATGAAACAAAAACCAAACTTGTTATGGAATTCAGCACTTGGATTCGAAAACATAGGTGATTCCCAACTGCAGTTCCGAACTAATTAATCTGGCAGATAAGATATATTGATTAGAGGTAAAGAAGTAACGTGGCAAAGTGTGCCGGGTATGACGTGGCAAAGTGTGCCGGGTGGATGGGGTCCTCGACATACGTCAATATTGTACTTGTCATGTTATTTGCATTGTATCCAGGTTACCTCGACGTAGTCCCAATGGCAGGTACTGGACGCCGGGTGGATTTGGTCCTTGACATACGTCAGTATTGTACTTGTCATGTTATTTGTATTGTATTCAGTTACCTCGACGTAGTCCCAATGGCAGGTACTGGAGGCCGGGTGGATGGGGTCCTCGACATACATCAATATTATATCTGTCATGTTATTTGTATTGTATTCAGGTTACCTCGACGTAGTCCCAATGGCAGGTACTGGAGGCCGGATGGATTGGATCCTCGACATCGAAGTGACTGAAGGCCATCCTGATGCTGTTGCCTCGCGGCGCCCGAATGGTCCAGGAGCAGTTGCGGTCGTGGGGGTAGGGCAAGGGGAAGTTGGGGCTTTCGATTACTCCGTGTGGACCGGTCAGTTCGTTATGACAATCTGAATATTAAAAAAGAAACGAATAAAAGTACAGTAAAGTATCATACAATTCTCGAAGTATCAATGAAACAGTATTTTTTTGCATGTAATACAAATTATAACGAGATGTTGCCGAAATATCAATGTAATACAAATTATAACGAGAGGGGAGATGATATTTAAAAAATGGTAAAATATTTCTTAAATTGGGAATGTTCAATTTAAATCTTTAATACATGACGATTTACAGAAACTTCCTTAATTGAAAGCTCAATAAAAAAAGAACTATTAAAAGTATCATTACGATACAAATATTATTGAAAAGACATCACTTTAAATTTTGTATCACTTAGTTTTGAAAATGACATCGGACAAATGACGAAAGTGTAATGTGGGTTGTCTTTATTCCCCTGTTGGCGTTGAATCCCAAGAAGTATGATGAACATGTTCGGTTACTGCAGATAACTAATAGTCTCGTGTTACGCAAAGTTGATACTGTCCCTCGTAACATATGGACATACCTTTAGGTTAGTTTAAATCTAATATTCAATGCATAAATTTAATATTCAATAGACCGAGTCATTAATAAAGAATAATAAAGAATTACTTGAGAAGTATCGAGCGCGGAAGCCTCTGGCCGTCACAGAGAAGTCGGACCTGAAGCGCACTTGCAGTCTGTTGGAGGTCGCGTTAAAGTTGACGATGTTCTGTGCACTGCAGTACCNAAATTATTCAGGCATAAATGGTTAAATCAGTGATATCAATGGAAACCACAAATTTGTGACACTAATTTACTTGCATTATTTTATACACCAAAACACGCGAAACGTTCTTCTGGATTTGCTGATTCGTTATTGTAGAGTTCAGAATTAATTCAGCGAATTTCTTCAATTTTTCTCACTTCGTTAATCAGTGTTACGTTCTAAATTAGTTATTGCTGAAAAATAGAACATTATTCATCCACTGTAAATAAAAAAAAGTAAAAGCGTCCAAGAAATTAATTTATGTAAATGCCGTCAAGCCGGTACAGATTTTTTCGCTCCAGCTCAAAGTAAATTTTTATAGCATAATAATTGTAAAACATTAATGCATTGATGCTTTCCCCATGCATTCTTTCTGTATCCTATCTGTTTCGTGGCTCAAAATCTTGTATGGGATGAGACATCATCTGTAAAAAGTAACAGGACTAAATTGCACGAAGAAAAAAATTTGAAGTCGCTCTTTACCTATAATCTGCCACTCAGCCCTGAAGCCGTTCATGGCAACGGAAGCATCGCTTATGAAGACAACCTCCATGACGTCCATACCCTCCCCTGACAACTGGGGACGAGGTGTCCGAGTCCCACAGAAATGTCCCAGCACCGTCCGGTCCGCTTCCATTTGACGCCCAACGCGCAGCTACGGGGATCGAGAGAATTGTATTATTTGGGGATCGAAACGAGTAAAAAGCGCGAAGATATGAAACAAATGATGCTCTGGATTACCATTTACACTCGCAGTCATTTAACAACCATGCCGCAGATGAAGCAAAAAAACGAAAATTGTTGTGGCATTCAGCACTTGAATTCGAAAACATAGGTGATTCCCAACGACAGTTCCGAACTAAATAATGTGGAAGATAAGATCTATTGTTTTGAGGTAAAGAAGTAAGGTTCGGCATATTATGACGGGGCAAAGTGTGCCGGGTGAATGGGGTCTTCGACATATAGGAACGTCAATATTGTATTTGTCATGTTATTTGTATTGTATCTAGGTTACCTCGACGTAGTCCCAATGGCAGGTACTGGCCGCATGATGGATGGGGTCCTCGACATACGTTAATATTATACTTGTCATGTTATTTGTATTGTATCCAGGTTACCTCGATGTAGTCCCAATGGCAGGTACTGGCCGCCGGACGGATGGGGTCCTCAATATTCGTCAATATTGTACTTGTCATGTTATTTGTATTGTATCCAGGTTACCTCGATGTAGTCCCAATAGCAGGTACTGGCCGCCAGGTGGAAGGGGTCCTCGACATTCGTCAGTATTGTACTTGTCATGTTATTTGTATTGTATCCAGGTTACCTCGACGTAGTCCCAATGGCAGGTACTGGAGGCCGGATGGATGGGGTCCTCGACATACTTCAATATTGTACTTA